AATATTCCGGGTTAAAAACGTAATTTTCGATAAATTATAAATTTACCGAAAGGATCCGTTAAATTTTAGGGAATTTTTAAAAGCCGAGCTCGACGAATTCTTAAAATTTGTAAAAATATAAAACTAAAAAATAATTAATATAAAGAAAATCGAGGAATAAGCGGACCTAAAAGCGGTATAGCGTTTAATTATTAGCGATTTTATCGAAAAAAATATAATTAAAAAACCGAAAAAAACTAATAATAATATTTTTAAAATTAATTAATAATATTAAATACCTTTAGCTATGCTATTGGGGCCCGGTAATTTAAATTTAATTAATTTTAATATATTTTTAAACCCGATTAAAAATAAAAAAATAAAAAAATTCGAAGCTATTTTTTTTAATAATATCGTTAAATATATCTTTATTCGAGCTAGAAAATAGCAGTATTAACTTAGCGATTTTAAATAAAATATAATAATAATATACGGATAAGTTTTTCGATTTTAAAAGAAAAAAAATCGTAATAGCTTAGCAAAAGGCTTTTTTTAAAAAAGCTAAAAATAAGCCGAGCCTACGAATTATAAATATCCTAAAATTACCGAAAATTTATAAAAACTTAAAATAATACTTATTTAAGGATGCTTTTCGGTAAATTATAAACGATTATATATATTAATATATAAAAAAATTTAAATCGTAATTAAAATACCTAAGGCGAATAGCTATAAAGCATTAAATAATTTATAATATATAGGTATTTATTTATAAAAACGATAATAAAATCCTTATTAAGCCAAAAGCTAAATTTATAATATATAGGAATTAATAATATATTAGCGATTTACCGACGCGTATTATAATTTTCGTAGCTATATTATTACGGATATTATTAATAATAATAATTTAATTTAATTTAAAAACGTATTAAATAAACGCAATAAATGCGTTTATATAAGCGGATATTAATAAAAAATATATATAAAGTTTTTTTTTTAAATTCGAATAATTTAAAAAAATATTACGTTTAAAAAAAGCCCTATATAGCTTTCGGAAATTTTTATTTATATAATAATAAACGTTTATTAAAATATTAGCAAACTTTGGTTTTATAAAAATTTTATAAAAGCTATATATTATAATAAAAAAAGGTATTATTGCTTTTTTTTACGTAAATAATATAATTTTTTATTATTAATGGGCGTATTAATAGGAATTTAGCAATATTAAAGCCGCTTTTTATTTAAAATTTAAATTAAAAAAAAGAAAATTAAAATAATTCCTAAATATAAGTATTTTTTGCGACTAAATAGCGAAAAAGCTATAGCTTTTATAAAAGTTATATATCGAAAAAATTATAATAAGTTTTAAATTCGATAAGGAATTAAAATAAACGGATATTTTAATATTTAAAAAATTATTTTTATTCGAAAATAAAACCGATGCGGAATTTTAATTATTATATTAATTTAAAATTAGGTCGATTTTATATGTAATTATTTTAATTCGGCCGGATATAATATTCGTAATAGCCAGGTTTTTTAAATTTAATTCGAATTTATCGCTATAATATTACCGAGCTATAAATTAAATAATTAGCTATTTATATTCGATAAAATAGCTAAATATTTAATATAGGTTTTTAAAAAACGAAATAAAGGCATTTATTTACGTAAGCGATATTTTATTTATAAATAATACTTTAAATAAAAAAAGCAGCTAAAGCTATATAATAACTTTATTTGGAAAGCCGATCGTATAGCAAGCTAATAAATAAAATATTATAATTACTTTATTTATTAAGGCCGAATTTTTAGCTTTATTATAAACGGCAAAAAAAAATATTTATTTTTTTAGGCTAATAAAATCCTTAAGCTTAAAATTTAACGAATAATTTATTATTATTTATAATAATAAATAAATTATTCGATTTTTCGTCGAAAAAGCTACGAAATTATAAATAAAATTTAAATATATAAATATTTATATTTATTAATTAAAATAAAAGGTTTAACGAAGCTATATAAAAATCTATTAAATAAAAATTAATTAAATAATAGCTAATAGGCTTACGAAAACCCTACCTAAGCAGAAATTCGAATAATTTAAAAGCCTAATTAACCTTATAAATATTATAATTTTAATTGCTAACGGCGGATAAGAAATGCTTTAGCCGGTATTTATTAATAATTTTATAAAAAAAATAATTTATATTAAAAAGTCGGGAAAACCGTAAAAACCTAGGTTTTTTATAATAGCGGTATTTAAAAAGGATTAGCGATTTTATTAGGATTATTTATGCTAATAAATTTAAATTAGCTATTTATAATTATTGCGCTAATATTTAAAAATAGGCAAAATATTAATATAAATTATTATAAAAATTATAAAGGTTTAGCGAAATTTTAAATTTTAAAGTTATAAAAATATATTAAAAGCATTATAAAAGGTTTATAGGTGGTTTATTAATAAGTATTTTTTAAAAATTTTCGGGAATATTTTATATTTTTTAGGGGCTGGACCTTTTGCGATATATATTAATAATATAATAATAAAAATTAAATAAATATATATTTATAAGCCGTAAAAACCCGGCGATATAGCGGCGATTTATTAGCGAAGCATTTTTTTACCTAACGTTTAAAACCGGGGGTAAAGGTTTAAATTTTTTTAAAAAAATTATTATTTTTATTATTTTCCTTATTAAAATTTACGGTTAAAATATTTTAGTTTTAGTAAAAAATTAGCAAATAGTTCGAAATAAAGTCGAAGCTATATTAAAAAGAATTATTTATTATTTTTTAATATAAAATATAGAATTTTTAAAATTCGTTAAAAAAACCGGTAAAATTACTAAAAATAAAGCGGTAAAGCTTATTCGAAGCCTTTATAGCCTTATAGAAAAAGCGAATTTCTAAAATAAAACGATTAATATAATTAGTTTAAATTTCGCGAATTATTAGCAAAATAATAGCGGCCGTTTAGCGATTTAATTTGTTAAATTTAGCGATTTTATAAACGGAAAAATTTTTACGATTTTTTTCCTATTATATAGCGCGTTTTAGCTAATTTTAAATATTACGGAATACGTTTTTAGGTTATAAATAGTTAATAAATAATTCGCAAATATAAAAAATTTTAAAATTTATAAATATTTTGCTAAAAAAAATGCTTATATATATTTATAAAACGGGTTTTAGCAATTTTTACGGTACGGGCGGGCTATAAAAAATTAATAACTAATTTAAAATAAAATTATAGCTATTATAAACCTAAATATAAGCTTTTTTAAAAATTTAGTAATTTTTATATTTATTAAAGTTTTTGGCTAAAATTCGGGTTAGCTAATAATTCGCAAATATACCGCTAATATATCGAAAATAATTCGAAAATATTTATTTTTAAAATTATAATAACGAAGCTAAATTTCGGGAGGCTTTTAATTTTTTATATAATAAAAATAGCGGTAATAAAAAATCCTTTAGGCTATAGCGAATTAATTTCGAATTATTAGTAATTTATTTAGGAAAAAAAAATTTATAAAAAGGATTTTTACCGTTATTAAAAAAAGCCGGTATTATAGCGGTAACGGGAAAACGCGTTAAAAATTAGGCTATAAATATTTATTAGCTACCTATTTGCGAAATATTTGCTATATAGAAATTTACCGGAAATATAACTAAAAAAAAAGATACCGGAATATTTAAATAAAAATTTAAAAAAAGATATATATTAGTAATATTATAAAATCGCGCTTATCTCGCGGGGACCTAAGAAAATAAAAAATAAATATAATAAAGAACTAGCGGTAAAACCGAAATTAATAAAATTAACGGTATCGACGATAAAAGTATCGTAAAAATAATATTATAATAGTAAATAGTAATAAAGGGGTGGATTTACGATTCGGGAAAATTAATAAAAAAAAAAGAAAGAAAAAACGGAAAATCCGGGATTTAAAGGGTTATTTATATTTGTAATTATTAGCTATTAGGTAATTATTTTACGGCGTTAGATAATTATTCTATTTTTTAGCTAATTATTTTATTTTATAGCCCGGGTATAAGCCTAAAACGGAAATAATAATAAGCGCGGCGTTTGTATTTTAAATTATTTTACGGAGCTTAAAGGAATTACGGCTTATTTGCTATTTAATTAAAAAAAATTAAAGGCATTTAAAAAACGGTTTTAGTGCCGAAAAAGCTTTTTATTTCTTTAGAATGCATTATAATAAAATAATTTAGCATAATTAGATTTATGCTAAAAAAGTGTATTAAATTATGGCATTATAGGGAAATATTAGCTGTTATATAGCTGGTAAAAACCTTATATAATAGGAGTACTATAAAACCTTTTAGAAATAGCCCTTTATATAGATTATTAAGTTATATTAATATATATGCATCAACCCCCTGTCTATTCTGCAGCTACCTGACTGTTTAACACTACCCAATATTATTACGAGAGCTCGCAAAACCAGCACAATCTTTCAGTAGGTAGACTTAGTCTAATACATTATCCTTTGACCACCAAAAACACCATCGTTGACGTACGCCCATCAACTACTTTCAACGCTCGGGCACTATTACGAGACGGGAGGTCACGATCAGCCTGTAAGTAATAGCAGTTGAGGTGCTATATTTGCCTGCCATGGGAGTTAATATTATACACTAATTTATATAATATTATTAATATGGCGCACAGGGTGGCTGATACGTCTCCTTCAACTTGTGTGCATCGCGGGTCGCTGACCAGTCGCAGTGGATGGCATGAACTAATAACCAAAGATCTGCCGTAGCAAAAGTTTCGTGTCAGTGCTGCGTAAATCATTATATTTCCCCTCCTAAAAGCAAAATAACTACTGGTTAGACTCATGATATTTGACTTAATGCTTGAAGAATTTCATGTAAGTTTTGAGCGCAGCTCGTCACATGCTGAAGAGCCATCTATGCGACGGGCATCATGTGTGCTCGTTGTGACAAGATGCCCCAGAAACCACTGACTCAAGTACCAACTTCTAAGACCCTCCCTTTGTCCAATGTGGCTGTCTGAAGCCGGTTTTACTGGCCGCTGCTAATCCAGTATCAATAAGTTTGACGTCGCCAAGAATCTCATACACTGCCAGCTCTGCGCGCATCTCTCTCGCTATCCAGTTTCGCACTTCTAGCGCAATGAGTGAGTCCACACCAAAAGACTCCATTCTGTCGTTAATCGTCTTCTCGTTTGCATCAAGGCCCAAGATAGCGCATAACTTGTCCCTCAGGGCACCCGCAATGAAGGCCCCTGCTGCTTCTAGCGGGGTAGCTCTTGAATCACGGCAGCAACATCTTGTACCTTGGCCGTTCCAGTCGTACTCACTGCACCCACTGGCGTGATCTGATGCAGTGCTCGGAAGAGTGTCCGGAACAAAGGTTCTGGAACCTCTCTTCCCGACTGGCGGATGATGGCAGGCGCCTCTATTCCAGTGACGATCTGGCTTTTCTCGGGGCAGGTCAACGCCGTGTCTGGATCACAGTAGTAATCAAACACGGCGAAGAGCTCTGGCAGTGTGAGAGGGAGAAGCAGATTCAAACGCATCAACTTGTCGCGGATATCTGCCCTCTCTGCCACAAAGCCTTCTCCCAGGATCATTCCGAGATCAATCGCCGCGGCCTTCTCTCCCTGTTCCACCCTGCATCTTGCTAATGCATCCTGGAAGGTGTTGCCGGCCGCATAGTTACTCTGTCCGGCATTTCCAAAGACTCCTACAGATGACGAAAGCATTACAAAGAAGTCCATTCCAGATGGCAATGCCTTGTGAAGATTCCATGATCCCTGGATCTTTGGCCGAATGGCATCGTGCCACTCCGCATAACTCATATTTGCAAAAGGGCGGTCCTAAACTCCATCAGAATACTGAAAAATTCGATTTAGTTACGAACTTACCTGGATAACCATTGCTGCCTGGAAGCAACCTCTGAATGGCGGCATCGTCTTTGAGGCCTCCTCGACAGTCTTGGTCAATGATTCGAAGTCACCGATATCACAAACCTGGCACTGCACTTGAATCTGCTGTGATTCGAGCTCTGCAATCATCTTCGCTTTTGCCGGGCTGCCGCTGATGCCTGATCTTGTGAGCAGGAGTAGATGTTGCGCTCCACGCCGGACCAGCCATCGGACAATTTGCCGTCCTATACCGCCCAGGCCACCAGAAACCACATACGTTGCATTTCTGGAGAGTCGATATTGGGAGTCGGAACCCTCTCGAAAAGGAACCAATGAAGAGTCGTGAAGTTCAAGTACAATCTTGCCCATACTTCTGCCGCTTTGCAATAGCCGGAAGGCTTGCTCCGTCTGGTCCACTGGGAAGGGCGTAATCGGATGTAGTGGACGTAATGCACCGGTCTCCATCAAGTCGAAGACTTCCTGCAGCACGTATCGACCGCTCGTCCCCCCGCCATCCACGATTGCGGCCAGATCGACTCCAGCGAACATGGCGTTCTTGATGAATGGAAACATTGGGAGATATCCTCTCGTATCGATATCTTTCCGCCCGATTTCGATGAATCGCCCAAACTCGGCAATGATCTCCCACGAAGCGACGAGAAGCTTCCCAGAGAGCGAATTAAGGACAACATCGACTCCTCGACCGTTGGTAACTCGCTTGATGCCCTCTGCGAAAGACGCATCGCGACTGTTGAAGATGTGATCTTCCGATATGCCGTAATGCTCGATTAGCAGTTTTCTTTTCTCCACTGACCCGACTGTGGCAAAAATCACTGCCCCTATATGCTGAGCGATTTGTAGGGCGGCCTGCCCTGTACCTCCAGCCGCAGCGTGGATCAGAACACTCTCGCCTTTCTGTAGTCGTGCAACCCTGTACAAACTGTGGTAGGCCGTGCAGAATGCCGTGGGTATTGCTGCCGCCTCTGTGAAAGACATGGCTTGGGGGATTTTTACAACCTGAAAGCTCTCTGCTCGTACCAGGGTCTTGTACGTTTCCAATGACCCCAACACAACGCGGTCACCAGTCTCGAGATGTTTCACGGCAGCACCTACTCGGACAATGAACCCAGAGCATTCACTGCCGAGCCTGTCTATGTTGACCCGGCCCAATAGCGTCAGACATTCTTTGAGATTGACACCAATAGCTTGGACACGAATTTCGACCTGGTCTGGACCAAGTGGGCTATAGGCTACTGTGTCTTCGGCCCACTCGATGGTGTCCAACAATCCTGGGGTTCTGATCTCTAGACTCAGAGGTACACCAGCACCGAAGCTTCGCATCCGCACTGGCTTCTGTGTTCGAGTCTGTATGTGATTATTGAACAAGGGATACATTCGGTTGGAAACTAAGATAAGAATAAGCTGAGGTAAGATGATTGATGTCCATGTTGCTCATCTTCAGATTGAAGAACTCGGCATCTATGTCTGGATTGAGAGTAGTGAAGTTGGTGTTCGGGGGGATAATTCCTTTCTTCAAGGCCAATATTGTCTTCACAACGCCTGCAAGTCCGCTGGTACCCTCCAGATGACCAAGATTTGACTTGATGGCCCCAATGTAAATTTGGTTAGCGAATCCTGACTCCATATCTGTTTCTAATCAGCTCTAGACTGTCTTTCACAACTGACACGTATATGGGGTCTTCCTTGGATCGATACTTGAAGAAAGCCTCTCCGATTGCTCTAGCTTCAATGGGGTCACCAACCTTGGTGCCAGTCCCATGAGCGTCAAAGAACCGTGTCTCGCTCATGTCTAGTTCAGCCTTGTGGTACGTATAGCGAATAAGCTGTACCTGCATATCCTTACTAGGTTGAGTGATGCCACCGTGGGTATGGCCGTCTTAATTCATCCCAATGGAACGAACCACAGCTCTGATTGGGTTACCATCTGCAAGGGCCTTGGACATGGGCTTGAGGATCAAGGCCGCGAATCCCTCCCCACGCCCGTACCCGTCAGCATTGGAGTCGAAGCTATGGCATCGACCTCGTGGGGATAGGAAATTCATGTTGCTCAGGGAGACATTAAATTCTGGCCCGAGAATAACGTTGGAAGCGCCAACAATTGCCATATCAGCGTCCCCAGCAGTCAGACCCTGACACGCGAGGGCCATTGCTACCAGACTGCTGGAGCATGCTGTATCAACGTACATGCTTTCTCCCCGAAGGTCGTAGAACCAGCTGATTCTATTGGCCAGAATTGAACCGGCAGATCCCAAAGCATTATACTTAGGTATCGCCTGTATATCCAAAAACCGCATGTTGGCAAAGTCGCTGGTGAAGCAGCCGACATGGACTGAAGCTCGAGATCCCGAGACATCTTGTATACCAAGGCCAGCGTTCTCAAAAGCGTGATACGTTGTTTCCATCAGGCCGCGCTGTTGGTGGTCCATTGCCGCGGCTTTGTGCGGTGCGGTAGAGAAAAACCCAGCGTCGAAGTGCCTGATGTCTCCTTCGAGAAAATGGGCCTCATCTGTTTTGATCTGTATCAAGTGTATTAGATATACTCCATCTCTCACAAGAAGATTTCAAAAAAATACCGTGTTGTCTTTCTTCCGAGACGTTTCAGAAAAGGCGTCGATGTTGAAGCGGTCATTTGGAAATTTTGTAGCAACACATTTTTTGTTCGCAAGAACATTCCACAAATTGTCTGGAGAATCTGCACCACCAGGAAACTTGAACGCCATGCCAATGACGGCTATAGGCTCTTGCTCGAGTCGGAATCCCATGATAGCACGGAGCTAAACAGAGTAGAATCTGCGCAGAGCTAGGAACTAGAAAACGGCAGGAAATGCACATAACACAATAGCAAACAGATTTTACTTCCCCCAAAGGCGAATCTTGAAATCGATATACTCTTTATATAGGATCTTGACCTCGATGGCTCATCTCGTCTCAAATCTGAGGCTATGCCCCCAAAGTGACGACAAAATGGGGTGTGATTCTAAAAACCAGTCACAGGCCGATTTCTCGGAAACGACTCTATGTACCTATACCACCAAGTACATGAGTACAGCCCCCAATCTGCATCATCCGGCCCGGTCGTACTGCTGTGCCGGAATAACAATCTCAAGACCCTATCTCGCGAGGGGAAGGGCACCTGTAGGTACGGATGTCAATGGGCTGCTACATTAATTTGGCACTGATGCTGGGCTAGTATACAAATTAATGTAGGTCCTCCGCAGGGTTGTAGTGTTGACTTGGAGCGGCAGGAGCACGTACGTATGTAGGTAGGTTACATATGTTCCTCCCACCACATCCCACCGCGGGGCCGTCTGCTGCCGGCGCCCCGATCCATGACAAGACCTGCATAAGTGCGAAAGTCCCCCGCATGGGGTACTGTTGGAGGGGGCACAGTTCTGCATTTGATAGCTACTACCCTACCTAGTACCTAGTATACTTCGGTATTCCTTACCTGCTTGCTACCCGTTATGCTCGCTCACGATAGGCGAATTTCCCAACAGGGGCCAACCCTACCTAGTCGTCGCGATGTCGTCGTCTCAACTTTTCAATTCGACGTGTTTCTTTGTTCTCCATTGATCATATAACCACCAAACCGCCAATGTTCATCTGACTCCTTGAGCTCAATACTCCACTCAATCAACCCCCCCTGTGTTTTTTTTAATTAGTCTCTACTCTACCAACACCCCCTCTCGATCTGCTAAATTACTAGGATCATGTCTTTTGACAAGCAAGAACAGTCAACCCTGTAGAGGCCACCAGAAGGAGTCCCAACAGAGGGCTTGGTGGCGAGCGTCAAGACGAGCGATGAGGAAGCCATTTCAACCTCACTCCCAGCGGTGGTCGACTGGATCACTGGGTGGAGGCTCATTTTGATTGCCTTGGGTTAGTCAAAAATCGTCAGAATTACATATGTACGGTTCCATGAGCTGACAAGCATAGAACGTCACTTTCGTTATTCATGATTCAGACCGAGTCATCCATCACCAGTACTGCAATAACATCTATCACAAATGACTTGGGGGGTTTTGAGAAAAGCTCTTGGATCTTCACATCGTACATGTTAACCTATAGTGGTGTGTGTCACTGGTGCTCACGTGTAATGCCTTAGCAATACTCACTTTCCACTAGGGCTTCTGATCCTCTTTGCAAAAATATCAGACTTCGCAGGACGCAAGCAAGTACTCCTTTCGAGTGTCGCGCTGTTCATCGTCTTCTCAGGAGCATGCGGTGGTGCTAAGACACTGATGCAGCCTGGCTATCTGTCATGGTTCTTGTGGTTACTATCGTGCAAATACCCCAGCGATACATGATAGTCAACAGCCTTTCGCCGGTTCAAGCTGGAGTTCGGCTTCTACCCTTTGCAGCCGTGGTAGCTTTTACATCGGTGTTTGTCTCGGTTATTGTTACCAAGGCCAAGATACCTGCCGTAAACGTCCTCTTTCTCGGTGCAATTCTTGAAATCGCTGGAGTTGCTGGACTTTCCAAGGCCCCAACTACAGCCGCTATTGAAGCTTCAAATTATGGATTTCAGGTCTTGGCTGGTGCAGGTGTGGGCGTTTACAACATCATCCTGTGAAAAGATATGATAGGTATGGGTAATAGTTGTTGTATTAGTTGAGTTATTCACATCCAACAGAGGTTGGATGGTCAAAGATATATACATGTGTGGAGAAGCGCTCCACTTATTCCTACATTTTGACACATCCTGATACTGCTTACTCCCTACGTGGTGGAGAAAAAAGAGCTGTGTAAGTTGCCCCGTCTCTCAAGACCACTACTTTTGGATACAAAACTGATGGAAATCTAGCTGTCGGAAATGGAGCCGTGAGCCAGTTCAGAATTCTTGGGGGATCGCTTGGTTTAGCGATTGTGACCTGCGCAACGAGTGCATCGTTACGGGCGAGTCTATTCCGTATAGTGAGCTCTGAACAAGCTCAAACAATTCTGGAGCGTACTGGAAGCATCGCGACCCTGCCACTTGGAGACCAAGACGTCGTCCGTGCAGCTTTTGGAGAGATGTACAATAGGCAAATGACTATCTTGATAGGCATTACGGCCGCACAGGTACTTGTCAATGTCTTGCAGTGGCAGAGAAATGCCATTGTATTCAAGGGATAGGAACCATAAGTAAATCCGGGCTTTTGTATATGTACATAGCACAAATCCTAATTAACACAGAACTTCGCTCATTATTTGGAGGTGGTATGTCGATGTGAAGCAAAATTGAACCGAGAACTACATTCATCGATTAGCTATCTGGAATTCGCTGCAAAACCATACGGACAATTTCAAGTCGCAATTGCACGCTTGCATAGTACCCTTTGAAAACTAAAATAAATCAGATCGTGTCGTGTCGGACTTGCATCTAGCTACTATGCTAGCAGACCAAAAGTCAAGCTCCACTAAAGTCCCAACTCGGCCTTCATCGCAGATGTAAATGATATCTGACACAAAAGATGTATTCGTATTTTGAATAATATCCGTGTTTCTTTCATTCAGACCTGCATTGTTGCACTGACGAAGTCAATTTCCACCACAGTTCAACTGTTCAGGTATATCAAATAGCTCTTTAGCACCTCTAGAAGAGAGGGCAGAATTTACCGGCAGATGATACCCTGTTTGGGATAACCAAAGCATGTAATTTTCCCCCCAGAACAACTTGCAGAATAGTGTCGATGCATGTGTCCCGTTTCGTAATCAAGATTTAAGGCTGAGGGCGGGGGTGGCACAGGTGCTCCAAAAGTCCCACCTCCACCGTATGCACAACATCCCAATCTGACCACCAATACAGTCGTTGCCATACACAGGCACTTACCTGAACGGCACCTAGCGCCGGCACACTGTGCTAACGGCCCGGACCGCTGATCCAGTTTCCAAAAGTGAGTGCACGTAAGTAGGTGTCAGGGTTGTTTTGCAATAGAGTGAAGGGTAGAAGGCAGAGGGCAATATAGGGGTGTATTGGTGACGAAACTGAACTCTGACCTGCTAGAAGTAAGGGGCTGAAGCCCCTACTTATAGCCGGTCCATGGCTAATAACGCTAAAAGCAGGGCTGACTAGCCGGTCTCCTTTTAGCACCCGACAGTAGGTACCTAGCAATACATCTACGTACGTCAGGGTATCACGATTAGCCACAGCCGCGCCGCCCGTTTCAATTATTCATATCCCAATGGTAGTCTGCAGAGCCAACAGTCGCGGAAACCCGTCTGCGCCGTAAGGCTGCACACTGCACCGCTCGGTGGGTAGTAGTATAGGAGAAGAGCACCAGATCGTTGTGAAAGGATGCATGTGTGTAACGTGTTTACCCAATCGCAACCCAAAGGCAAGAAATGCCGTTAAAGATGCAAGGAAGGAATCAGCGAGTGTCATGCGCGCAACCATACACAAGCAAAAGTGACGCATGCCACTTCATCCTGCCTTGCAAGGCCTGCCAACCCGAGCAGCGCGCAATTTCGATTGCCACACCGGGGTCTTGTGTTCTATCACCCGAGGAGGCGACCGTATGGACTACATTAACCCAGGACTAAAATGTGGATATAGGTATCATCGGACTGTGGCCAGAAAAGCAGTTTAAGATCTCCACATATCCATTCATCTTTTATCATTTGCGAACAAAGATTTAACATGTCCGCTCAATCACTGAGTCCCGAATACCTTGCCGAAAAGAATCACCCCGAGAAGTTACTTGCTACAAGCATTGTATTCCTCGTGGTCTCAACAATCATATTCGGGCTTTTTGTTATCTCTAGACTTGTTTATGCGAATCGAAATGGTCGGGAAACATGGCTCCTCTATCCGCTTTCCTATCTCTGCGTTATCGGAGTCTGCATAATTGGCATCTGTAAGTACATAAGCATATGGCAGCTGATAAACAAGAGATGCTAATTCGGATGATAGTGTTGGTTCGCATTGGGGGTACTGGCCGCCATGTTAGCTACTGGCTCGTGACCGATCCGACTGCAATCACTAGATATCTACAACTCCAGACGGCAACTGAAACAGTATACATGGCTGCGGTCACACTTCCTAAAGTTGCCCTATTGCTGCTTTATCTCCAGATTTTCGTCGAGAGAAGAGTCTGAATTGCGACTTGGATCGTTATAGGGGTCGTCGTCGGGAATTTTGTGGTATCTGGCCTCATCGTTGGCTACACAATCTGTCAGCCATTTGCCTTCAAGTGGGACAAAACCATCCCGGGCGGCAAGTGTGGGAACCTGATGGCTGTCTATCGATACATCAGCATTCCGAATCTTTTGACCGATTTGGCCATCATCTTCCTTCCCTTCACCTCTCTGCGCAGCTTGCAGGTCAATAAGACGCAAAAAATTGGGTTGTTTGCCACCTTCTTGACTGGAAGCCTGTGAGTTTCTCTGCTCGAACCCTCCTTCTGTGTCTTTTCTTATTGTGAAAGGCGTTATGCTAATCAAGAGTCGCGCAGTGGGATCGTGGCCGCTATCGTGCGGGTGATAGGTTTCTTCACTTTGTCTCTGGATACGGACCCTACGTATATGAGCGTGGAGTCTATGACCTACACTATTATTGAGCCTGGTGCGTATTTCATCTGTACCTGTCTACCAGGAATGCGACCGCTTGTGCGCGGGCTCTACGAGTCAAAATCCTCCATGATGGGAAGTCGAGGACTTGAAAGTGGTACGCACGACAAGACTCAAGGATCAACGTCAATACAGGGTTTGATAAGCTCTTGGCCTACCCAAAGAGGGGGTTATAGGACTTCCGTTTCGGCCGGGAGTAGGCAGTATGACAACTATGACGGCGATAGATCTGACTTCATTCGCCTGGAGGAAACAGTCCATGTACAAAGTACGCCGGCTGTCTCGGCCCCATCGATGAAGATAGGGCAGTGATGTCTACGTTACGGCACTTTGCGCGCGGGGCGGCTGAAGGATTCTACGGATCATAGTCTCGAGTTTGATAGCTGAAGACTACCATATGGAACGGTTCATATAATCCCTCAATGTTTGGTAAAAATGTAGCATGTATGCAATATTTAATGGTAACGGTTGTAATTTGACTCATATATGTTGTTGTTTCCGACCATGAGATAGAAGTGCCACCATCATGAAACAGAGTATAATTCCTGTCTCCATGAAAACGAGTAGCGGATGGATTTCAAGATGGCAAATGAGTCATGTAGCACGACCTTGTGGGCCATGGTTATTTGAGCCTTCAAGGAATTGAGAGACAAGGCTCTGATCCCACTGGAGAGCGTTGGCATGTACATTGTAGTCTTCATACTTCTCCGCTATTCCCGAGATTGGACCGCCACGGTCGGAATTAGTTATCCTTGCTCTATTTCTTAGACTTCCGAGTACGATCACGTAAGCATTATACAGCTCCCAGCCTAGGATCTTCTAGTGGTGTGTGGATGGTCAGTGTATTGGGTATATAGTCGCTCTTCAGCACCTCTCTTTTGTAGACTAGAGATCAACTCAGACAACTTTCAATGCTTCCTCGATCATCTCGTCTTCAGTTCCCCCTTCACACATCGGCTCAGGTGAGAGATCGTTACCCTTTTCTGCGTCGCATCCGTCTCATTCGCCATCTTCGAAACTTATGGCCCCTACTGCAAGCATAACGCCTGTGTCGTAAGCAACAGGGTTCTTTCGGTGTCTCATATTTATCGTCGTACATTAGTGATTCGGTGCCGAGAGGTGCGGCGCCACTTGGTAGGTACCTTGACGTATCTAAATTACCTGACTACCTTGTAACAATTGTCTCTAGGGGCAAAATGCCACCTTCATTGGCCGTAAAGATATTATACTATAAGGCTGCAGTAACGCTGCTATGACACGTTGGAAACTAACAGAATGAGTGCATATATTGGTGACAATATGATTTCATTGGCGCGGGTGGGGAAAAAGCCAGACAGGAAACCTACTCAACTTTGGCCGTTGGCATCTGCGCCAAAGCAATGCGATCTCTTGATTCAACTTGATTATCACGTCTCTTATCAGTCGATCAACTAGGACCAGTCTAGGTGCAGGCTTGGGCATCTCTGGGTGTGCTTCTAGCACACGCGTCACAATAATGTACTGTGACAAGGAACAACACGCTGCTTTTCGATTGGCTGTCATTCCACAACGGTCTCAGCCCCCAATGCTACCCCTACGAGCCAACTCTAGCCGAGGCCGCCAGCCGTATGTAGGCATATCTTACGCTCAGTGCGGCTCATGGATTCCTACGCCGAACTTATTTCCTCATTTCGACAACTTCTATCCATGAGTCTTCTCATGGAGTATTCCCACATGATAATTCCACTCAAGGCCTCAGAAAAGTGAGACCGCCCAACATTGACTGTCTGTGATTCTCGCAGAAACCGAACTTCTCGCCGCAATGGAGTTCCTTTCCTATTGCTCAAGCTTGAAGGGCTTGCTCTTCACATCTGGCCTGATTGGCGCTATTGTGGTTCGTGTTGCACATTGGCCAGTGAGGCATCATTAACACAAAATAGATCTTTTCGAGTGTCATCTACAACCTTTTCTTCCACCCACTTTCCCACATTCCGGGGCCACTATTCGCCAAGGCAAGCGGGATACCATCGTGGTACCACGCCTTGCGCGGCAGACGGCATTTGTGGCTGTGGCAGCAATTTCAGATCCATGGTAGCCGAGTCCGTGTGACGCCAAATACCGTCCTATTCTGTGATCCAGAGGCTTATCGTGACATTTATGGAATGAAATCAAATGTTCGACGCGGAGATTTCTATACTGCCTGGAGACGAAATGAGCGCGATCAGACGACGCTAAATACTGTCGATGTGGCCGATCATGCACGAAAACGCAAACTTCTTAACCTGTCCTTCACGGATAAGTCGGTTCGTTCAGCGTCAGCCTTTATCATTCAGCACGTAGGACGCTGGAACGAACTTCTAGTGCAAGACTGTGGCATGGATTGGTCTGAACCAACGGATCTATCGAATTCGGTAGACACTCTTATTTTTGACATCATGGGAGATCTTTGTTTTGGGAAGTCTTTCGATATCAAAGAGCCAGGAAACAACCCGCTTAAAGCGTGCGTTTTTCACTTTTCATCCACCCCAGGTATTTTTTGCTAATGTCATACTGACTGTAGTGTGCCACACAACATCACTGAGTACATGCAGTTCTACTACCCGGTAAGTGTCCAGACAAGCTAACCTATCTAATTTCCTGATTGATACCTATCTAATTGAACCACCTCAGATATGCCGCTCACCATTTCTCGGGTTTGTTCTTTGGCTGAAGCCCCGTGGTCTCAACAAGCTTTTCGAACTCCTTACTCCACCAGCGGTTCAACAATACTACCAGTTTGTTCACAACAGCGTCACCAAACGTATTGCCCTCCAACAAGCACAGGCGGACAAACCAGAGAGCCAACGCCGTCAAGACATGTTTTATTTCATGTGCGAATCCCGTGATCCAGATACCGGTGCTCCAGCATATGACGAACAAGACTTACGTGGCGAGGCAAATTTACTCATCATTGCTGGATCTGACACCACAGCCATCAGCCTGTCGGGAATATTCTTCTACTTGACAGGTGATATTCACAGATACCAGAAGCTCGTAGACGAGATCAGGTCCACGTTCACCTCGGTGGACGAAATCGTACACGGACCAAAGCTTCTCTCATGCGGGTGAGTGCACTCAGTGACCCCTTTTATCTCACGCCCAAAGACAATTATATTATCAAAGTACCATGTGATTTCAATTACTTATATTCGTAAATTATTAGATACTTGAAGGCCTGTATTGATGAAGGAATGAGACTGACTCCATCCGGACCTTCCGAGTTGCCACGAGAGGTGCTCCCAGGAGGTCTGGAAATCAAAGGCGAGTATTATCCACCGGGAACCATCGTCGGTACTGCAGCATGGCCCAATTCACGTAACGAGGAGATATACGGAGATCCCAACGTGTTCCGTCCCGAGAGATGGATTGTTGATAATGTTGCGGGTGTAACTCAAGAAGACGTGGCTCGGGCTCGTTCCAACTTTCATCCGTTTTCCATGGGCCCCGGTAACTGCATCGGAAAGAACCTGGCGATGACTGAACTTTTGATCACGGTCGCTCAGACTCTGTATCGATTAGATGTTCGTAGAGCGCCAGGCTCTACATTCGGAGGTGGGTCACCCGAGCTTGGGTGGGGTGCTCGCGATGCGAAGCAGTTCCAACTCAAGGATGCGTACATCTCACTTCGAAAGGGGCCAATGGTACAGTTTAGGAAGAGAGTCAATTGATGCTATCCTTACAGCAATAGAAAGACTTGGTTGGCAAGCAGTTCACATAGATATCCCAATACTATAGTTGTCTATGGATCCAACAGATGGTCTTTTGCGATGTAGTCTGTAAGTAAACCTGCACTGAAGTTCCATTTAAGACCTCCACGCTAGGCTTACCTACATACTAGGTACCGATTGTGCACGTCTTCGTATTTGATTGGCAGAAGACGATGCTAAGCAGCTTTAGCGAGCGTACCGTATCCAAAAACTGTTATCTAACGCCCCGATGCCCGTATTCACCCCTAAAATGCCCAGCATTATAAATGGAATGTTTACCCCACCATTAGCGTATTGAAAGAGCTGCAGCTTACCGTATCACAGAACTGATTGGATGATCAGAAAGACGCATTCAGCAACGACCAACGGACATGATCTTTGAGGCTTTAATAATATGTGCTTGCGAAGCGAAAACTACAGACTGCTGCGAAAGTAATTCTTGTAGGCTCGTTCCTTCACTACGGAGGATCATGGTCACGCCAGCTACGTACGGAAGGCTATCCTCTCAATTATATGAAACCCTAATGATATAAGCATTTCCCGCAAGTTGAATGTCCCAATCCTGCGCGACTAACTCGTTATTGATCTCTAGCAGCCGGACTGACCGGATTGGGAGTATGACGGCTCAGATTGGCAGGGCATTCGAGTAGTGACACGGGTCCTAACCGAGGACAAGGATCGCGGAAGGGTGATTCACTCACGAATCGGTGCTTACCAGCTAAAGCCGGTCTGGACTATTTAAAAATGACAATACTTTGAGGACATAAGAACGAGATACGGTGCTACCTTGATTATTAAAGAGATGATACTGCTTTTGAAGACACTCTTCACAGCTATAATATCCTTGATACGGGCCAAGTGATGCAAGATGATTGTCATTTCATTAACCAAGTTTTACTTTTGGTCGTGCCGCTATCCCATGTGGATGACGAAAGTAACAGAGGAAAAGCAAGCATAAAGAGAAAAGAAGCAACCTTCCTTTATAAAAGCAGCTAATTACATCGGCGTGCTCTCATAAATAAAATGAGAGGACGAGCGAAATGCCCAAATCATTTACAAAGCCAATCATTAAGCACCGTTCTTAATGGTACTTTAGCATCTGTTATATGGAAAATTGTTTTTCTCTCTAGGAATATCAAGACTTAACGAAATGATTATATAGAGTGGTTAAACTGGACAAAGTGAATACAGCATAGGATTTGCCTGCCACTTTTGCAGACGCAATGAAATTCATACACGCAGTGCTTTCATAGACTCTCAATTCATACTAGCCGTTTTGGAAAGAGCTTTTTCAAACTTCAATCGTTTTTGTCGCTTGATTTCGAGACCCGTGGCAACAAGATTCTGAACAATACAGGAAACAAGCTTTTCTAGCTTTACGCAGTACACTCTACGCTAATCTCATGTGCTGCCCTCCTCGGATTTTAGTCCTGCGTCAACTTTGCGACAACCTTTTCAGCCAGAGCAATCATCGACGTGGCATTGACGATATCGAGCGTTGTCAGCTCTACGCCAATCTTTTGGCGAGTCCAGTTGCGCAGCTCAATGGCGGAGAGCGAGTCCAGGCCGTACGCCATGAGCGACTTGCCGGGCTCGACCTCGTCGCCCAGCTGGAGAATCTTGGAGAACTGCCCCAGGAGCGCTTCGACCGTGGTCTTGACCAGAGCGGCCGCGTCGGCGCCCGAGCTCTGCATGGCCTGTAGGGTCTTGACGGCCTGCTCGCTCTTGTCGCTGCTGTCGCCCGAACCAGCGCCGGCACCTCCGACGTGCGCACCGCCGCGGGCTGCGTAGAGGTAGCTGAAGCGCGCATCGTAGTCCAGCTCGCCCTCGTCGTTGCGGGCGAGCGGGTGCGCAATGCCCGTGACGAGCTGCGGGCTCTTGGTCGGGTTGAGCCGGGCGTCGGGGTCCTGCTGCAGAATCGAGTAGGTAAGCACGCGGCGCAGCATGGTCTCGTTGACGGGGATCCAGCGCGTCTTGTCAAAGCGCTCCTCCAGACCGTCCTCGTCGTCGGCGATGTGGCCGACGTCGACAATCATGCCCAGGTCCACCGCGTTGGCCCGCAAGCCCTGGCCCTGCCGGTAGCTGGCAAATGCGTCGAGGAACGTGTTGGCAGCGGCGTAATTGGCCTGGCCACGGCGGCCGAGGAACCCTGAGATACTGGAAAGCATGGTGAAGAAATCCAATGGCTGCTTGAGCAGTTCGATAGACGCCTTGTGTAGATTCCAGGTTCCCTGGACCTTGGCATGGATGGTCGTGTGGAAGTCGTCCACGTCCATATTCTCAAACGGTTTGTCCTGGGATCTCCATTTTAGTAGTGTTGTCATATAATGCTCGAGAGAACAAGGAAGGGATGAAGTTAGTACGTACCCTGAGCAGCATGGCACCTTGGATGACACCGGCAATCCTAGGAGTAGTATGCTTGAATATCCGTTGTACTGACTCATAATCACCGACATCGCCTCTGGACTCGGTGACTTTACATCCATGCGATGCACAATCCTTGACAACCTGAGCCGACGCGATGTCATCAATACCACTGCGGTTGCTAATGACCAGATGGCGGGCTCCATGCTGCGCCATGTGCACAGCCAGAGTACCGCAAGCGCCTTTCAGGCCGCCAACAATGAGGTACGACACATCGGGTTTCAAGCGGAGTTTGCGAACGGCAGATCTGATGGGCAGTTCAAAGTCGTCATTTTGCTGGTTCGAGATGACAATCTTGCCGATATGTTTTCCGGCACGGATCTGAGCAAGCGCCGCCGGAATTTCGTTGAACTTGAACGTGGTGATGGGATGGATTGGCTTGAGGTGGCCCGCGTTCAGAAGTTCAAAGATCTCCTTGAAGAGCTTGGCAATCATGTGCTCATCCATGTGCTTGGCGTATGACAGATCGATCGCACGGTACGAGCAGTTCCTATCGAAAGGCTCCATGGCTAGAGTATTTCGGTCGAGAATGTCCTTCTTACCAATCTCGACCATAGTACCAGCGTCGGCCATGATCCGCCACGAGGCGTCTAGAAGCTCTCCTGTCAGTGAATTTACTACAGCATCAACACCCCGGCCGTCCGTGGCGCGCATGATTGCCTCTGCAAAGGAGGCATCGCGGGAGGAAAACATGCGGCTTCTGGGGATGCCGTAGTGAGTCTCGAGAAACTGGCGCTTCTCTTCCGTGCCTACAGTGACCCAGATCTGTGAACAGAGCATGGTTAGCGGGTGTCGCATAACTGTCGAAGGAATGGATACTTGCCTCGGCCTTTTTGTACCGGGCCAACTCAATGCAAGCGACTCCAACACCTCCAGTTGCAGAGTGGATGAGAACGGTCTAGAGAGTTCATTCGTCAGCATTGAAACACGAGATACGGGGATGAACTCTGGGAGCAAGCCCTCTTTTTGGGTGGAAAGCTGAACTTACCTGGCCTTCTCGAAGATTTGCCAAATGATACAACCCATAAAGGGAGCACAAGTACACGGACGGAATGGTGGCTGCCTCCTCGAAACTCATAGAGTCCGGAATGGCATGGCAACGGCCGGCCTCCGTGAGCACCCGATTTGCGTACGAGCCCATCTTGAGTAGACATACCCGGTCCCCGACCTTGAACTTGTCCACACCGGGGCCGAGGCGGCGGACCACGCCGCCACACTCGAGTCCCATGGTGTACTCATTGTCAGCCACGATGCCCATGCTGATGGCCACGTCCTTGTAATTGACACCAGCGGCCATTACATCGACCTCGACCCAGCCTGGCGCCACCGGCGTAGAGTCGTCATGGTCTGTCTCGCTCCACTGCAGACTCTGGAGGGTGCCGAGGCGCTCCGTCCGCAGCACGACCTGGGCCTCGGTCGCCTTGAAGGGCTTGGATGTGGGTTCGTGCCCTTCGACTTCGGCGCGTTTCAGGTCGTTGATCGTCACATCGGGAACGAGTCGCTGTACATGCAGCACGCCATCTCGTTCCATGTACTGGGTTTCCACGCGCGGGCCTCCGGCCGCGGAAGCTGCCAGCAGTTGGAGTACCTGATCAATAGCCCACTCCGTGGCCCGGCTCATGCTAGACTGCACATCGAGTGTCGTTAGGTTGGTGGAGTGGTCTTCTGAGTGTGCCACCCTGAACAGACCTTGGACTAGAGCCTTGTCTGGGTCCGTCACGGGATGCTGGGCGCCCTTTGTAACCCAGAGTACTGGGGTGGTCGAGGTAGCCAGCGTCTTGATAGCATCCCACTGGCTCTCGTCAACATGTTTGAGGACGCTATCCGAAAGCTCGTCCAGAACTAGTACCACTGTTCCCGTTTTGGGCTTGGAGAACGGTATTGTTTGTTGTATGATGGCCCAACCAGATCTTTCCAAGCTTGCTCTCAGTGACGGGCCTAGGCTTGATCTTACCCGTCCGCTTAGACTAGCAACCAAAAGATTCTGCGGATGCTGCTGCTTGGAAACCTCAAGGCTGGTGCTGCGTAGCAAGTAGGCAGGAGCATTGTCATCTGAAGCCGTAACCTCGAGGAAGTGCCCCGATTCGGTGGTCTTCTTGAGATATCTGCCAAGGGCGCCATGGTCTCCAAGGCTCAAAGGCTTCTCTGCCAAGTCCTGATCCCACGCCACCGAATCTACAGAGCTTGAAGGTCCGTTCGTCTCCGACCCCGAAGATCTCTCCGGTGTATCAAGAGATGGCGGACTCGGGTTGAGGTTGACGTAATCTTCAGAGCTTTCACTGTCATCCAGGCGGCTCACGTCCTGTGCCGTACCCTGAGCAGGAACGATAATAGTGTGGGCGTCATTCGATAATAGTGACTTCAAATTGTCCAAGACCCTTGAAATGGCAGTCTGCAATCCCTGCGAGCACTTGACAATGACAAGATCATAGGTTTCCTCGGCAGAAATGCCCAAGGCCTCCTTCTCGGGGCTAATGAAGAGGTAATTTGCACGCTCCCTGTCCTGGTACTTGGACTGAACGCTAGTAATGGTTTGTCCATCACCTGAGGCAAAGTCATACCGTGTATAGACGTCCCGCACTGATGCGTCGCCGGCATCGAACCACAAGCATGAAGTATCTGTCTCGTCAAGATTGACCTCCAGTACCGCAAGTGCTGGCTTTTTGTAAGCGATGAGATCAATGACGCGGCTGAGCCTGGACGATGATTCCGCAGAATCCAGGTACATGATTTGATCTTGACTGAGGAGCGACACATCGGGCTCCCACGCGACTCGGTCAAAGGTGTGAGGGTCAGGCTTGGGAGGTACGTCCAGCTTGACATAATTGATGCCCGTTACGCGTACGAGCAAGGCTCCGGTGATCGAGTCATAGACAGAGCTATACGCTTTCCAGCTCTTATCTTGGTCGGGACGACCGCGGCCAGAGTAGACCGACTTTGCGAAAGAGTAAGCTTCGTTCAACTGTCGAGGGACCTTGTTGACGAGGACATCGTCAAACATGGCAGGGATCATGACGTCCTTGACGTTGACCCGCTCTCCAGCCGCGTTGGCCGGAATGGGTGTCTGTAAACAACCGTCGAACGAGCTCGGATGGACAGGGTAGTATGACTGGGGTTCCCATTTGGAAACGGGGGGTGCCATTGACATGAGGGTCCTGCATTCGCGCTGGCCGCTGACTGCCTCAATGCTGATCAATTTCTGGAATGCAGGTCCGAAACCCATGCCAATTTCAGCCTCGACCTTGTACCACTTGCGGGCAGGCTGGGGCATCCTCAGTGGTGCAATGTCCTCTAGCACTTCATCGACGGGGTCCTGAATGCGGATCAATCCAAAGCAATGCTCAACTTGAACGTCGGCTTGAGTCGTCGAGATGCGGAACTCGTGCCATTCATTGTTGCTACCAGGGACCTTGGAGAGCGACAACATTATCGGTATGTCCGTCCCGGGCTCAAGTACCAAGGCCCTGTTGAAGCGTACATTGCGGAAGCGGTAGGCGAGCTCATTGGGAGATGCAGGGGCTTCTTCTGGGTTGAGAGCGCAGTGTTTCTGGTACAAGGCCTCGAGACCCAGTGTAAGGAAGCCAGCGCCCGGCATGAGGGCATCACCACCCATCTGGTGATCCAATATCCAGGGCACGTTGGCCACGTTGAGCGTGTGGCGCCACACGGGTGAATGCCAGGGGACTCCGAGCACTTTACTGCCCAACAAGTCGTGGACGGGGAACTTTCGGAACCTCCAGTCCTTACTTGCGGCACTCTCGTGCCAGTACTTGACCGAGTGGTTCCACGTGTAATTGGGCAAATCGGTAATCGTTTTCACCGCCTCACCATACTTGTTTACCAGAGCTAGGTCAATGGGATGGCCATTGATGAACAGTCGGCCAGCAATGTCGAATAGAGCGTGACCAGCATTGGAACCACGTGCCCATGATGCTTGGTACAAAACATCTGTACCCTTTGAAATGGATTTGAGAACCTGCCCGACTGGACCTGCTAACGCACCTGATGGACCAATTTCAATCAGAAGTGTCGGGGATTCCTGAGTGACCATCTCTTTGAGCGCTTGATCGAAACGAACAGGAGAAACCATATTAGTCTTCCAGTAGGTTGAATCGGCAGGGGAATCTTTTCTAAGCCCCGTGACAGACGAGTACATGGCGACAGCCGACGGCGAATTTTGTTGGGGCTTGAATTTATCATCGGTGTCGAGCAGCGTGTTGTACTCATCTCCAATTCTATCCATAAACTTGGAGTGGTAGGCCAGATCGACTAGCAACGCCCGGGCAAAGTATCCATCGCCCTTGACCTCATCGGCAATCTCGTCGAGTGCTGATTTCTTTCCGGAAAGGGTCAAGCTGCCAGGACTGTTGAAGCAGGCAATGAATGCGTCGCCCGCGTGCTTTTCCAGGTACTTCTGCACCTCGGCGGCTCCTACACCAACTGCAAGCATGCCGACATCCTTTTCGCTTTCGCTTTCGCAACGCAGCGCAGCTCTACCTCGGTAAAAGGCAGCCTTGAGTGCGCCAGCACGATCGACCCAGCCAGCAACGTATGCAGCAGCACACTCACCCGACGAGTGGCCTATGACACAGCTTGGTTCAATGCCCCAAGATTCCAAAACAGCCACGAGACACAATTGGAGAGCAGTAACCAAGGGTTGCGATATCTCGGGCTGGCGCATATGCTTGGCAGAGCGCGGCTCAGTCAGCTCGCTGATCAGTGACCAGCTCGGCGGGTCTGGCTGGCTCTGGAGCACTTGGTCCAGCTCCTCCAAGATTGATTGGACCCAGGGGAAGAACTCCAAGAGATCTCGTCCCATCTGAGGCCACTGGGCGCCTTGACCGGTAAACACGAAGCCGATCTTGAAAGGCTCTGGGGCCTGTTTTCCCAGAACAAAGTCACTTTCACTGATATTCGTCGACCTGGTGCTTACGTATGCTCGATGAAATAGACGCGACCGTCGAGCGGAGAGGGTGTAGGCCAAGTCGGCCAAGTCAACCTTGACACCGGGGTTGATCAAGTGGTTACACAAGGCCTTGATATTGGCCTCGAGGGTAGCCGCATCGTTGGCGGATAATACCAAGCTGTATGGCGTAGCGGCCTCGTCATCGTCTGAGCTGAATTCTCCTCCAGCCGTATCAAGATATGAGGATACATGGCGCACTTGTTCCCGTAAAGGTGCTTGTTGGACAATAGCATGAGCGTTTGAGCCTCCGATGCCAAATGAATTGATGCTAGCTCGACGAGGAGCGTTCTCGGGCCACTTGATTAAAGTTCGCGAAACTTTCACCTTGGCCCCCGCAAAATCGACTAGGGACAATCATTAGTCATCTGGCAACAGGTTGCACCAAACATCATTTGGCCCGCCATTTTGCTTACTTTTGGGACTCGGTGTGTGGAATGTCGGGTTGCCGGGAATAACACCCTTTTCAATTGACATGACTGCGACGAGGAAAATTAGCAAACTCGCATGCATCTTATCAAACTGTATCAAGGTTCATGGTAGGTAACGGGGGTCGCCTACTTGCTTTCATCAGACCAGACAGGCCAGCTGCGGGCTCAGCGTGGCCAACGTTGCTCTTGATCGACCCAATGATGAGGGGGTTGTTGTCAGAGCGCGAACCCGAAAAGACGGAAGCTATTCCCTGAACCTCGTTGGCGTCGCCTGCCTGCGTGCCAGTGCCATGGCACTCGAGAAACGTGGTCTGGTTAAAGTCAGTGATGCCGGCGCTCGCATACGCCGCCCGGATGGCCAAGGCCTGGGAGTCTGCGTTGGGGCTCGCAATGCCGGGGGTGCGGCCGTTATGATTGGAGGCCGTGCCGAGCACGACGCCGCGAATGGGGTCGCCGTCGCGGATGGCATCGGAAAGACGCTTGACTATGGCCGTGCTGACTGCTTCGGCCTTGACGTAGCCGTCGGCCTTGGCGTCGAAAGTGTGACAGAGCGCTGTTGGCGAGTGTGCGCCGCCCACGTTTCCGGCATCGATGAGGTGTTCTGGGCTCATGTACAGATTCGATGCGGCCACAATACCCACGTCGATGGTTTTGGAGCGCAAGGACTGGACTGCCATGTCTAACCCAACCAGACTTCCAGAGCAGGCCGTGTCAACTGTGACACTGGGCCCCTTGAGGTTGAAGAAGTGGCTGATTCTGTTAGACAGCATACAGCGGGCGTTGCCTATCACATTGCCCATGGGTCGGTCTTCAGGGTTGCGGTTGGCCATGTCGGCATAATCCACGCCATAAGATCCAACGTAGCATCCCACCAGTTTGTTATCAATATTTTCCATGGGAATACCAGCATTTTCCAGTCCCTCGTAGACAACCTCGAGGATTTGTCGTTGATTGGGGTCCAATGCTGTGGCTTCGCTGGCGCCGAGCTCGAAGAACCCGGCGTCAAAGTCGGCCAGATCGATATCCTTGAGGAACATGCCTCCAGGCTGACGCATAGTCTTGGGCTTCATAGAACCATCATAGTGACCGTCGATATTGAACCTTGATGGTGGGACACCATTCCATGCTATCTCCCCTCGTTCTAAAAACTCCCAGAGCTTTGGCGGGCTGTAGTTACCACCCGGAAGGCGGCATGCGAAACCTACAATGGCAATAGGTTCCGGGCGGTATTCTTGTGATGATTCTGCCATGATTCAATAGATGTAGAAATATAGGAATCGAGAAAGCAAAATTTTATGATAAGTGACAATATACGACCCCAAAGTTGGTATGCCCTATTCCCTATTGCTCTCTGTGGAACTTCCCAGGCTGCACTTATCACGCTACTGGAAAGATTCTTGAGTGGTTGAATCACCTCAGACTCTGATCTCCATCTCTTTTTCCCGTGAAAAAAATCCATGTCTTATATTCATTCATAAACACACTACACTTTGCATCCGTATTTCCCAGCAACTGGTGGTTAACAGCTGATTCTCTTACGTGGGGAAAAAAGCAACTGCATCCGTCACAATGAATAAGCTGGTATAAGCAGTAAAGCGTAATAATGAGGAATTCATATTGCTAATTCCTGTATGTAAGCCATTGAGACTGTTGTGGGGTTTGCACGCACCTTGCACGACTTCACCTGATTATGCTTATCCGACTGCTTACATCAAATCATTGATGGACATAAGCCTCCGAGGCTCGAGCCGTCTCACGCTAGATGTTGATTTAGCTATAGCTCCTACTGTGTTCCTTCGCCCTGTACATCAAATTTGTAATAATATAATGGTTCTTAGATAAATCTACTAGGATATCACGAGGGAAAAGGGTTTTATAGCATTAGCGAGCGGGCACGGTGGACCTGCCAATTTTGTTGATAATATTTTGAGCGAGTTGAAGCTTTGTTGGCACTTCACCATGTCGCCGTTCCGGCTTCAGAAAACTGTCAAGTGTCAAACCATTGATGGCATCTCCCTAGAGGCGTGGTTTTGGGAGGTGGATGGCCCAGCGCCCGTGATTGTAATGTCCCATGGAGTAAGTCAATGCTGACAAAAGAGGTTACTTTGGTATTTTTCATCGATTCATGCTGAACTCTCCGTCTGCTGTAGCTCAACTGCGTCAAAGAAATGAGCCTTAGTCAAACCGCAGAGGGTTTCCAGTCTGCCGGCTATAATGTGCTTCTCTACGACGCAAGAAATGTTGGAGGAAGCGGAGGTTCTCCAAGGAATGAAGTTGACCCGTGGCAACTTGCCCAGGATCTGTCAGGTAAGTTGCCAATCCTTGCTCTCGTACATATCGCAAGGGCATTTGCGCCTTGGGCTTGATGTCATTCGATCCTTACCTGTTTCCATGCCAATAGACGTCGTCAGCTTTGTTCGATCCCTGCCGAGTGTAGACGCGAAACGCATCATAGTCTGGGGAATCTCTCTCGGTGCCAGCGTCAGTGGGTGTTGCGCCGCCATCGACCGACGTCCAATCGCCACGGTCATGGTATGTCCCATCTTCAAAATGATCCGGCCCGACCGGCGCAAGGCCATTTTTGGGCAGCTCATGCGAGATCGCGAGTCGCAGCTTCGAGGCAACCAACCCTACACGCTACCGCCGTACGACAGCAAAGGGGAGAACCCGGCTGGGTATGCCGGCTCAGGCGGCCCCGGTGGGCTTGAGGCGCACATGCTCATGAAGACGGCGACCGACCGGGGCCACCCCAATTTTCGTGACCGCGTCACGTTGCAAACTTTTCATAAATTAGCTCTTTTCCGCCCCCGCGATCTGCTGGAAGAACTTCTCGAAACTCCCGCTCTGATGGTAATACCGGAAAACGATAAGCTCTCGCTGCCTGAAGACCAGTTGGCGGCGTATGAAGCCTTGCAGGCTCCAAAGCGTTTGTACTGGGCAAAAGGTGCAGGACATATGGATGTGCTCACAGGTCCGGGACACGAGGATGTAATGAAAGCTACCCTCGAGTTTCTCGAATCTGTCTTGGAAGGAGAAATACCTTAGACATATTCTAGATTCAGACACATTGCATGCTTGGTCATTTTATTCCCAATGGACAAAAACAAGATTATGAAGTCTTTTATACAATTACAGCGATAGAACAAGGTCACAGTTAAAAGAGTTGACCGATGAGTTGGCCGAGTGTCTCTAGGTTCTACTGTGTAGCGATAGAAGGGTTTCTATAGTAAACCCGAGAAATTCTATTAAGGCTTTCTATGTGACGCTGAGTCAACCATCTAAGTAATAATACAATATGGACTATAAAACGGAATTGAGAATCATTACATATCGACAAGCTCACTGCACCCGACACAGTCTCCCACCGTCACTTGGCTTCCAGTAAACGTCAGCTCCCACCGCCGTGTGTTGCCACAGACTGAACTCAGGGTCGTACTTTTGTTTAATACGCAAGAGCTCATCATAATTCTCTCCAAAGTAATCAATCTTCCAGTCCGGGTTGTCGAATGTGGCCTCGTTCACGTACGCACCCTGAGTCAAGGGTTTGAACAGATCCTGCCAGGTATTTACCTTTGCTTGATAAAAGCTCAAGTCTGTGCGTGATGCGTTCTGAGCAAAAAGAATACCGAAATTTGTAGTGTACAGCGAATCTCTCCACGCGGGCAAGACAGCATTGGAGCCAGGGGCGTTGCCCGACACAGCGTGCGTCACATTGCCGGCATTGAAGTTGATGGCCTGGAAAGGTACCGTCGTGTCGCCAAGTATCGACCGGAAGATGTCGACGAGCTCCGGCGTGTGGTCTTGGACGGTCGAGCGAGACACCAGTCGGCCTCCAAGGACATTGTTCGGCGGGGTGGCATCGGGAGCATACGAAGTGTAGGCATTGAAATGCTCGAAATACGTCGGGTTGACGGTCGTTGAGTTCGAGATCACTGTAACATTGAGGTCTTGGAGTTCTTGATAAAATGGGTCCATTGCAGCTCTGATGTCGTCTTCGGTCCCGCCCGGCAACGTTGCGACGTTCAGACTAAATGACTGCGAGGTAAGCGTCGCCGAGGTGGAAAGACCGTGGATCCGGTCAAGGACCAGGAGATGTTTCTGCCATGCAGCTACCGCTGCCCAAAATGCCTCCGGGTCGGCATTGCCAAAGACAAGTGCCGCGCCCGCCACCGGGCCATCAATGTGAGCCTTGATGGTCACGGAAAGGACCACGGCGTAGTTGCCAGAGCCACCCCCGCTCAGCGCCCAGTGCAAATCGGCGTTTTCTGTGGGTGATGTGGTGAGGTGCCGACCATCGGTCGTTACAACTTCATAGGCCAAGACGTTGTCAGCTCCCAGCCCGTAGCTCGAGCCCAAGAGCCCATGACCGCCATTTTGAACATAGCCGCCCGCTAGACCAACCGAGGGACAATACCCTCCTGTTACCCGCAGACCCTGTTCTGCTGCAGCGGCGTAAGCCTCGGAGAACTGAACACCGGCACCTATTACAGCGGCTGGTCCGGTGTAGGCCTCGCTGCTGTAGTTGAGAAACGAGATGGACTTGAGATTATGAGTCCATAAAGCCAAGGAGCCCGCGCCACTCGATCGACCGATATAGTCGTGACCTGTATTCTTTATCGAGAGACGGATATTCCTTTCTTGAGCAAACTTGATCCCCGCAACGACCGAGTCTGCATCGGTTACATTAATTGCGTAAGAGGCAAGATTTCCGAGAGTACAAACGCCACCGTCGGCGGTCAAGAACGGATTGCAAGAATCGTTTAACCAGTAAGGTGACATGATGTTGATGGCATCATTGTAACTGGTCAGCGTGCATGCATGGTCAGTTTGTACTTTGCGATCTGTCGGCCGAGGATAAGAGATTGACTGACTATTCTTCAGCGTAGCCCCACCGACTCTGTATGTCGCTGCATGCGGTCGCATCTATGTGCGTGCCGTAGCAAGGCTCCCCCAGGGGTTCTCCTCGGATCAGCTGACCGCCGATTGTTGCATTGAGCGTCTGCCAGTCGTTCTCATTGGGCCAGGCGACATCGCCGGGCATGGAGCGACATGTAAGGTTTCCAGTCGACTGCCATGGTGCTGCTGTGGCCGAGGAAACAAATGTAACGGCATACAGCGAGCTTACAACGTGGAATTTCATGGCGTATGTGATGGCAGAGGATTGAATTCTAGACCGCCACAAGATAACAACACTTTATTGTGCAGTACTGAGCACTACTACCGCAAAGTCATGACTGTGTCCTTCCACCTCGATTATTTACGGTGATTGATGGGACCTTTATTCGACTGAGCCAGTATACTTCAAACTCCAGCTGACGCTGCCATAACGCGTTCAGCTCCTAAGCGATCACTATTAATGGTAAAAACCTCGAATAATTCTCCCAGGTAGCTGACTATAGCTTACAACAGCTGATTTGGCTGCTGAAAGGAGTCAAGCCACTTCCTATAGGATTGTGGCAGCGATAGCACAACGTACTCGGGATGGCGAAAGTTTTTGATTATTTTGACTGATGGAGGCTACTTTGAGTAAATCTGCGACTAGATGGCGTCGTGTACTATGCGCAGGAAATGGCTGACTGTATCGCACCACATCAGGATCAATCACACCATACAAATGATATGATTGGCGTTATGCCTTTCTACCACGCATAATGGCACGTGGCTACCTAGTAGTCATGCAAACACCCACCGCCGTGTGCAACCCAATTGATACAAATTTGTAAGTACAGATATCGGTTTCGCTATCGTTTATTGCCTAAAACTACCATTGAAAATCAGAATTTGGAATTCGGCCGAACCATTCTTTGTGCGTAGCTGCTTGAATGGATTCAATATGATCATAAACAGCAAATAATAAGTCTGTTACTTTTATTATGTCCATCTTTGAACATTATTCCCACCAACGCTGCACCTGTAACAGTTAAATCTTACAGGACTTGGCCGCGTATCACATTTACGAAACTTGCGTGCATGCTGACCTACGAATCTTATTGGTTGCTGCGTATTCTCGCCATTGCCATGTCAGATTGCGGGCTTTTAATCCTGGGCAGAATCATGCCAGCAACAAGAAAAGGATCAAGCCGATAAGCAGCCCCCTCTGCAAGCAAAATGCAACGAAAGTCTTACCCACCCTACAGAGGAAAGCCACAGTTTATCGCACCCAAACTGCCATGATCTAGAAGGAACAATTATATCACGTCGCAGATAGAACTCGCCTCTTTAGTCAGTTATCGTGTATTCATCTATCCCTTTTCATTCACCGAGGTGCATATTCGTGTTACCTGGACCCATAATATATAGAGAGCCTGTTCAAATAGGTGGTGGTGGTGGATATGTGTATAACAATTATGGAGAACCGACCCAATATCATTAGCGTAAGCCCCAATGGCAGAACGGTCATACAATCTTTTAATAAGTCTTGAGACAATATTTAGGTGGGTTTTATCGAGTTATAAACGAGAGTGCCAAAGAGCTGTTGGATAATGCCAGAACCGGTAAAGTGGGCAATCTTTCTCAACCTACGCCAGTGCTACTATCAACACAAGGGCAGGTATTTTCTGTAACAAAAAATAAAATAAAAGAATCTGCACAGGTTGATAGGTACCGGGTCAGACGGGTGCGGGCCGCGAGAAGGGCGAATTGGATCAGATCATTTTGCTTGCCTTTGACTATGTGCATGTCAATTTTGGAGGGTTTAGACAGGAGGAATCGTTATGGTTTGATCGGACAAGTACCCCCGTCTTCTTAATCAAGAATCTAAATCATGTTTTACGACAGCCGTTAAGGCGTGGCTGTGGCACAAAGTCCCTGAAGAAAGGGTCCCCCACGTTTTTTTTTTCGGAGAGCGACAGGCCAAGACGTTATGTAGATATGACCAATTCTCGCCGGTCCTAACTCGCCAAGACGTATATAAGATAATAAAAGCTGGTAAGAGGGCCGGGGGTTTTTATATTGTGGATGAGGCTTGGAGTGATCACCTTCTAAGGGGATACATGAACGAAGTTATGAATATCAGCTGACCTGTCATCGTTTAAAAAAAGAAAAATAAAGGCAAACGGCGTATAAGCAATCAATAGAGTCACACAAGGACAAATCCCATGACAGTCATGTCTGGCAACCTGACAACCGTGGAACGGCGTCGAGAGCAAAACCGACTAGCACAGCGCCGGTTTCGAGGTGAGTAATCTCCAGTATAATCGAATTAGATACAGGGCGATCCGGACTGGGCTGGTCATACTCATACGCTAAGTAGAGAAACATGGTGCACGCAAAGCACGCGAGCATCGACAGAACAAATCCCCCCAACCTTCGAATGGGGGGCCGCCCCAATCTGGGGCCACTTCCGGATTCGCTATCCTGCCCGAGTCTCCGAGTCTCTCCTTTCCCGCGAGTCGAGATGGCTCCCCCAGTGACTTTGGAGACTTTTCCATGAGTCGTGTCACGGACGTAGCCATGGACAACAACTTCGATTTTCCCTGGCTTTCGAGCCTTGAACCCGAGTGGAACTACTCGATTGGAGCCCTTGCATCGCCAGAATCGCAGAATTCTGACCACATTGACCGAGTGTGCAAAAAGTGCGCCCACGGAAAGTCCGAGATGGTACTTCCTGCTCTTGTCCAAGCCTCGAGTGATACGCAGCAGCTCAGCATCTGTGCGTCGCTGGAGGCGGCAGCAAGTGGCGAAGACTCCAAAAGCAGGTTTCTGACCGTCAGTCCGCTGCACATGGCGGCCAAGCAAGGGCACTGTAATATTGTGCGAATCCTGCTGGACCATGACGCGGATTGCAACCTCCAGGACCAGGACGGCCAGACGCCGTTGGTCCACGCCACCATCCGCGGCTACGAGGACGTGGCCGACTTGTTGCTGTCGCACGGAGCGAGCCTCCGATATGTGGACAACCAGCACCGCTCGGCGCTCCACTGGGCCGTTATGCACCAACGCGATCGGCTGCTGCGGAAATACTTGAAGCACTGCACCAACGATGGTACGTTGGTTAATAGCTACACCAAGGCTGGGAGGACAGCGTTGCATATTGCCATCCAGGCAGGCTTCGAAGCAGGAGTGGAACTGCTGTTGAAATCCGGGGCCAGCGTCCAGGCCAAGGCGCCATGTGATGATAGTAGTAACAATGCGAAGCAGGTGGAAGATCTCCAAGCCCAGGAATTAGACTAAGTAAGGAAAATAGCAATGTTGACACTATCAGTTACGAGATACGACATGATACCGAAATGGTAGAGATACGGTAGCGTAAATTCATCGCCCTCTCCAAAAACCCTTTGCCACCATGCCACGTTGAAACTAGGTATATTGGCCACTCGTGAGGACATCATCAATTGCCTTGGTCGAAAAGCCCAGTTACGTACCAAAGCAGCTATTATCAATCAAATCGAGACCTACACGAAGACATGATGGACGATAGAAAATAAGTCAAGATACAAGGTAGATAGATAGCCTAGAATAAATTCCAGATAATGAACACCGAGTCTAACGATGAATGAAAGGCTACATTAATTTCCATATCGCTTTTTAATGACCTCTTCAACCTCGGCGAAATGAGTCGCCTTCTTTATCACGCCGTCAAGGAGACCGTGCGGCAAGAGGGTGACCACCCATGCAAGCAAGGCCGATTGTCCTCGCCAGATCAGCGATGGCGGCGACTTCTTCTCGAGGTCCTGCACAATCTTCCGAGCCCACGCGGCCGGGGGCATACCGGTCTCCTCAAAGTCTTCCCGGCGGAGACCCTTCTCCACCAGGTCCTTGGCCGGCGCGTAAATGGAGCCCTCGGGCAAGACAGGGGTGGAGCGCTCGTTTTTGCCCAGGTTGGTTGGGCCCACAACGCCCGTCTTGAGATCGACAACCCGGACGCCAAATGCGGCGATCTCGACCCGCAGCATGTCGGAAAACATGGCCAGCGCCGCCTTGGAGGCTCCATAGGCGCCGCCGTACGGGATCACCAAGGTGGAGCTGATGGACGTGTTGTTGACAATGATGCCCTTGGACTTGATCAGCAGGGGCAGAAAGGCCTGTATTGCGGCCAGCGTGCCCCAGACATTGACATCAAAGACCTCCTTGGCCTGAGAAATTGCCGTGTCGGACACGGGCATGGTCATCATGGCGCCGGCATTGTTGACCAAGATGTCGAGGCGATCCCCCACCTGGGCCACACACTCGGCGAGGGATGACTCAGATTGTATGTCTAGCGCTAGTGTCTGGATGCCGTGGGCGGCGCACTGCTGCATCTTGGTCACGGTCCGGGCCGTTGCGTAGACGTGGTACCCGGCATCGTGAAAGGCTATGGCCAGAGCGGTCCCGAGACCATTGTCTGAGCACCCAGTAACGAGAACGGTGCGCTTCTCTTGTTTGGTGGCAGTCATGATGTTGCCAATGCACGTAGGCTGCTACTGGTGGGACTAGTCGCAAAGAAAAAAGGGAGGTGCAATCATACAGACATGGTGGGGTTTAACGAAGACCTACACGGAATAACATAGACAGAAAAAGGTGTGAAGCTGCTGCTGACTGCTTTGTATCTTCGTAATCATATCTTGGACCTTTGTCTCAAACCGGCCTAACACAAAAGCCCGCAAGTATGGAAAAGTCTCCGAGCATTGTCGCACAAACGCGACAAGGATTATCATGTGAGAATAACGCAACCGACGCGGGCTACCTACGAGGAGCTTATCGTACGTGCTTCAATACGTACCTAGATGGGTTAGCTGATATTTCGTACATCTTGACTGTTCAATTCATGCCATTAAGCATAATCATTCGATTTCATCTCGGGTAAAATGTAATATTGTTGCTTAGCAGTACATGTTGCTTCAGCTTTCCCTCAGCTTACCCCAACAAGCCACACTGGTTTATGTTTAGCCGACTCCGGATCAATGTTCCGTTACAATACCAGTGTGTATATTCTAAGGATGCCGATGCGGGCTTCGAAAGGACATGGATTGAACATAAGTCTCCATTTACCACTTTCAGCTGCTGACAGTGCATCTCCTTTTCTGTTCATATAACCTATGAGCTGAGGGTACTCATGCTGTTCATGCCAATGCAGCCACGTGCAAAACTGGAAATAATCAAAATCATCACTGATTACGATAATCGAGTTATTATGCTGACTTCTGATTATGTAGTAATGTTCCTCATGTAATGATTGTCTTCATAAGCATCATTACCATTCCGTAACGCCGCATGATTAGTTTCTGATCCTCACTCGCAAACCCAGGCTCCGTTTAGCAGGAAGGGGGAGAATGTAGTCCCTCACAGCGTCAATGTCCCGACCGCGCACAGTGTCATATAGTTCGAGTGTAGGCCCTTTCTGCCCGCGGTACACGTCGTACTTGAGGAAAATGCTCGCGACAATCGTGACGAGTTCGCGCCGTGCAAGGTTCAGCCTGTTGCAGCAGAGTTTGATCATTAGACGGGTTGCATTCGTGAAAGAAGCGCAGAAAGAGGCAACTGACCCAACGCATGCCCTCGAGCCCTTAGAAAAAGTCATCAACGCCCTGCTGATTGTGGGGTCATCAATCCATCTTTGGGGTTGAAATTCATATGGGTCCTCGAAAATGTCGGCATTCATGTTGATTCCAAGTGGTGAGACGCCCCAGGCTGTGCCCGGTGGCAAGACGTATTCTTGCCCAGTGCTCTTGTCCGTGTAAACGATTGGATCATCAGGGAATACGCGGACCTGCCGATGAATAACGCCGGGATGGAGACGCAGCACTTCATTGATCACGGCATTGAGGTAAGGAAGATTAATGACTTGCGAACCACTCGGGATAGCGCTTGGGTCCTGCACTGCTGTGTGGAGCTCGTCTTTCAAGCGACCCAATTCCACTGGGTTGGACAGCAAATGGAAGACGGCGCACTGAAGCGCGTATGCTATTCCCCTAGAAATTAGTGCCAATGTTGGAATAGGAGGGCCAGCAAAGAGGGAGGGCAGGATGATGTCTGACCAGTAGTACCCTCTCCTGCAGAAACAACCAACTGTGCCTCGTCTGCCAACCGAACATCTGTCTTGTCCTCGTCTGGTAATGAACTGCTCAGAATGCCCCCGAATATTGTGCTTTTCATGAGCTCTTGGTCGTTGGAGCGCCTGATCTCACGAACCTTGTTGAGCCACCACTAGAGAAAAGAAGGATGATAATCAGGCGGCCTGTTTAAAAATGAGGGTTCAGACGCAGGACATACATACCGATTGCTTATCTAAAAAGTCTCTCCCAGATGGCATAAGTGTTTTCATAACCCAACCTGGGATCGAGCTTGCTAAAATACGAAGCAAGGGGAAGTTGCCAAAGTAATGAGTCAAGCTGACGAGGTAGTCGCTGGCGTCGTAGTAACTCTTGCCGTAACTCTCCTCGTACATGAACTTGAATGAGTCGGCAAATGCATGTCTGGTGACAATATCGCTAGTCATCGCTTTGAACATGTAGTGTATTTCAACTACTTCTTTGCGCTCGCCGTGCTTCTCCATCCTCTTGAGCATCTGCCGAATGTTGTCCTTCATAATGGGCTCAAGTCGCTGGATACTGGCGTTGGAGAAGAAGGAGCTCAGAGCATTCCGCCGCCGCCGGTGGACATTGTGGTCTACGGTTGACACAAGGGAGCCGGGCGCTAGCAGGACGCGTCAGAGAGATATTGACAAAAATTAAGGATATGTGAATTTTTGCTCACTTCCCGATCTTACTGCTACAAATTCGGGCTTATCAACGTTTTTCCCTCTGCTAGGATATAGGGTATTGAGAAAGTCGGGGTCCTGGAAATGGATTTCTTGTGGAGTGACACGGACGATGGGCCCTATTCTAGAATTAATTGAATGAAGCCATTGATCTGATGGCCGAGACACACCGTATGTTCTATGCATCTCTTCGACAACACGGAAGTATTGCCCGCCTTTCCATAGCTCAAAGTATGACTCGTACCAATATGTCAAAGCTAGAGAAACCGTCGTTATCAGAACTGTCATTTGTCGTCTTCTGCTAAAACTTGCTGACTTACCAGCTATGCGTGGCCCTGGGATTTTCGAAAGCGGGGAGAAGAATACTACATCGGCGGTTAGCAACAGGATACCCGCTCAGGCTTGCATCCAGGGCAATTGATTTCATACATCGATAGACACCCAGACAGATACTGTACGCGAGTATGATTATAAGAAAGATGCAGAAACCGTGCAGATGCGACATATTGTTGGTGTCATACCACGACAGCCAGCCCAATACCATTTCTGGCAGCTTGAACAAGTTAAACCAGTCTTGTTGAAATATCATAGTAAATGTGGACAATATACTTCGTTACTACTTGGTTTTTCTACGCGGTCCAGCGACTAGATACTGCATGTTTTATACAGGAAGACAGCTGAGGACACCTCACGAAATCAGGCCATCATCTTGCACAAGGAATTTCGTTGCCCGCGTAAGCGAAGCCAGACTCGTAATCACAAGGAAGGAATTGGGAGTACAGCGACCACGCCACCACCCCGCCGTGGCTGATGAAAAAGTAAGCGTGGGTATCAGCCTCCACACGTACAGACCGGCGCAGCAGAGAGCAGCAAGATGTACTCCGTACGCGAGGAAAATGATTTCTTTTTGAAAATTTGCACTTAATTTCCAAACATTGATCTAGAATATTTCGCTTCATTAGCATATTCCCCTCTGAAATCTTACACGACCGTTCGACATGGATAGGAACATACTCAGGATCTGAAGCCATGGCAAAAATCAACTGCTGCGATTTGGCTTCTGGACGGCGACCATCAGTCCAGTCCACCGAACTGTAGCCAGCTGCCGTCAGAACCTTGTTCCAAGCCTTGGAGTTCTGCAAAACGTGGGTTCGCTCGTCCTCGAATCGCCACCACCCTTCGATCAGCCCGAACGCGGCGTCGGCCCACAGCATCTGCGCCGTCATCTCGTGCACGACGAGGAATCCGTCCGGTCGCAACATCTTGTGAAGATTCTTGAGGGTGGATTTCAAGTCGAGCGTCGCATGCAGGACATTGGACCCGAGAATGATGTGCGCACTCTTGAGCAGCTCCGGCTCCGGCTCCTTTTCAATGTCGATAACCGCGTACTTGACAAAGTCATACTGGGCAAATGTCTGAGAAGCCTGCGAGACCAGCATGGCGCTCAGATCCGACACGGTGTATTGGACCTGGGTGCCTTCGAGGGCCGCGAGAGCGGGCAGCATGCGCTGCGTTGTTCCGCCGGTGCCCGCTCCAACCTCGAGGATACGGAGGGGTTCCTTTTGTGATACCCACGACTCGCCAATCTCGGTCATCAAGGCCTCTAGTGGCTCGAGCACGGTTTTGCTCGAGTCGGCCGTCGCGTAGAGCTGGTCCAGCAGCACGCGACCTTCGCTGGAGCCAAACAGGAAATGCACGGCCTCGACCTCGCCCAGGAGTCCTCGGACAAAGTGGCGGCTCGTCAGCTGCATGAGCTTGATCTCGGCCACCTGGGCAGGCCGGTCACGCAGGAGCTCCTCGAATGCCGTGTCAATATCAGCACTGGGACACGGTTTGGCAGTACGAATGACATCTGAACCTCTCGTCTCGACCAAGCCGCCATTATTTTCCAATACTCCATAGAGATAGTCGACGTATTTTTTGTGTTTTGGCGCGTGACGTACTCGTGGGAGTTTGTCGCCTGGAGCGGCGGATCGAATGGGACATCCCAGCTCTTGGAACACGTTACAAAATATGGCAATGGCGAGCTCACTAGCTCTTGGCATAAATTCTGAGCAAAAGGTTTCCATGTGATTCTTCAAAATGTAGTTATCTGTGGCATTCTTGATGTTTTGAAAGGCCTCCAGGACTATGTCGGCATCTAGTGATGCGTTCTTGCTGGGGGGCATGATGAGAAGACGTTTGTAAGGGTATAGCTAATACGTGGCAATAAACTTGGTTTGAACTCTGGGTTAACGCTACCGAGTGTAGGTTTGATAATGGATCACATGAGCTTGATAGAGAAGTGGTTTTGATATGCATGAATTGTAGTAGCCCTTTAATGCCGAAGCAATGAAACAAGTGTGCTTTGCTTCTTATAGTACCTAATACCAATTATTCGTTTTAGCACGCAGAAATTAATCATATACATGCAAGAAACCAGATTTTAACAATTACCGTAAGACAGTATGTGCAAGCGCACCGTGTCTTACATTAGAAGACTCCAAGTAAGCCGTCACGAAAAGTCTGCTTACTTAGGTAGGTTAGGTACGTATTTGCTATCCTTAATCTGGGCGCATACAAGGTATTTGGGTGAGTGCGGGGATGACAGTTGCATTTACACGATCGGAAATGCTTATTTTTCTTTCGTAATGTATGTAATAAGCCCGGATTTGCTACGAACCTGTACGACTCTGCTTTATATATCAGGCCATTTATGATTTATACTGCACCTCTGATTCCACCTCATAATGCTAGTTTCAACATTGCTTTACATCACATTAGAGTTGTACCTTTAATTACTTGTCAGCTTATAAGGTGGTGGAAGATACGCGTATAACAATTGTGGAGAGCCAAGCCAACGCCATTAGCGCAAACCAACCGCTAGAGCGGTCATACAATCTTTCCAGGTACATATATAGGTTAGTCGAGTAATTCATTGGTGATTAATACGTTTGTAAATACCTAAGCACTGCACCTTAGCACACAATTATTTCGTAACGCGTTAAGAATTCAACCGTGCCATGTCCAAATGCTATCAGAGTACTTAAATCACATATCTAAAACCATTCTTAATGAAGATATGAGGGGGAGATAAATGTTGAGGGACTGTGAAATAAAGACGGAGGCATTTAGAATGTTTGCCGTGAGCGGTGGAAAAACTCGAGAATTTCGGTGCCGCTACGAACCAGAGCCGGGCCGTCCCCAGAGGTTTCTTCGACCGGCGTATGTGTGATTGCGGGGGATGACTCCAGGGACCAGGAGGGGCATTCAGCGGGGCTGTAGCGGGCCGGCTTTCACCATGTGCTCGAATCCATTCCCCAGCTGATCGGGAATCCTAGAAATCCATGATCTGTTGATTTTGAGGAGTTTGAAGCTCCGAACTCAAAGCCTCGGCAGACCTAAGAATATCTACAACAACTATGCTAACATGCTTCTTAGAGATGTTCTGGCACAGTCGTCCACTTGGCCCGTCGCAACAAAACTGAATACTTATGAACTATATTCCTCCCATGGAATGGCCTAGACACTCGAGATATTCAGAAACTATGCAAGAAACAGCCACAAGTAATTTTACCGCAAGATAGACAGAAGATGCCGCCGATCACGGCAAGATATAATCCAAGTGACCGGAGACTTGCTTGCCAGCGTGGCATGGTTAAAGCATACTAGATACACATGTACCGGTACTTCCTGAAGCCGAAATGTATTTCAATTACCAGCTGACGCTTCGCGGGCCTCTTTTCAGATCCTGCTCTGCCATAGATACGAATTCGTCTAACAAACCGTGGATACTCCATTAATGTGCACTTGCGATGCTTCTAATTTTACAGACATGTGCTGTCGCTGCTTCAATTGCTCATTACGATGGCTCCATTTTTAGAGACTGAGATGTCCAAAGACAGTAACGGATCACCTATATCAGCCATCACACTATCTGCTGAGTGAAGTTTCTTCAATTGGCTGCATATTAGGTTCATGGTGTTGCATAAGACCAGAAAATGCTTACCAGGGAGTTTCACCGTTAAACAGCACGGAATGAAACAGCGCAGAACAATATTATGTCATTGCATCGAAGTGTATTTGAATACCCTACAAAGTCTATGAAATATGAGATCTATGCAAACAATCGTATGTAAAACTACAAAAAAAAAAAAAAAAACTTCACAATGGACAGCCACCTAATAATGACAGCCCAAACAATATATACTAGAATCCGTAGCACCGTCACTCCAGACCCCGCCTACGCTGCATGCTTATGCGGCAACGATGGGGTTGTAGTAGCGGAAACGGTTGTCAGGGTCGTACTTCGTCTTGAGGCTCGTTAGCCTCTCGATACGCCAGCTCTCCTCGCCATACCACTCCTCGACGGTCTCGAGGCCGCTGGCGTAGTTGACATAGGCGTGGGGGGCGCGGCCGGGCTGGCCTGCGTTCCACTGGTCGCGCGCCTCGTTGGCCCAGGCAAGAGCCAAATCATCGTAGTCGCTGCTCGGCGAGACGGCGTTGAACAGCATCAGATGGTGGTCGCTGCGGAAGGGGTAGGCCGAGCTGTCGGAGGCGATGTTGTCGACACCCTCTGTGGCGTAGCCCTCGTGCATGATGAAGGATGCCGCCACGAGCTCTGGGTACTCCTGCGCGCGCTGCTTGAAGCCTTCGAAAATTTGACGCTCGGCCGTTAGGTTGTAGGTTACTAGGCCCACTGTCGAGGTGATGTGCACTTGTCCGTGCTGGCAAATGGCAGAGTCCCAGCTGGTTCCCTGTGCGGTGGCGATCCCCGTGTACGGCACATCACCCGAGACGCTCATTTCGGCGTCAATGGCGTTGAAAGGGACGAGGAGCTCCTCTGCCTCATCGGCAGGTCCACGGTAGGCAAAGGTCCAGAAGAGCACGGGCTCGTCGCTTGTGATGGTAGTGTTCATGACAAAGTTTCCAACCTCAAAGGCCATGTTAACGGGCGTGGTACCATTGCCGTGGAAGGTGTTAAGGGCATCAAAGACGGTCTCGAGCTGATCGCCACGCCAGATATAGTTGTGCCAGTGCCAGGTTGTGTCCTCCAGGGGCCAGATAGTCATTTTGTAGCTCGTGACGATGCCGAAATTGTGACCGGCTCCCTTCATGGCCCAGAGGAGGTCACTGTTCTCCGATTCGCTAACGACAATGGATGTACCGTTGGCCAAAACAAGGTTGAGCTCCAGAATGTTGTCACTGATCATGCCGTAGAGACCTTCGTACCGACCGTGGCCACCACCAAGACCAGCGCCCATCATGCCGACGCACTCACAGCCACCAGTCGTGGTGACATAGCCTCGATCGGAAAGGTATTGGGTAACATTGCCAACCTTGGTACCACCTCCAAACCAGGCTGACCCGGCATCGTCTGAGATGGTGATGTTGTCCAACTGCCACATACTGATCTGGAGACCACTAAACGATTTCAGACTATAAGCAAGGCCATGGCCACCGTTGAGGGCTAGGAAGTCAATACTGTTGTCGTTACAGTAGTTGACCTGTCGTAGTTAGTAGGTAGAACAAGTATTGATGTTATCAAAGGTGGTAAAATCATACTATTGTTGCAACATCGGCTTCCGTTGCGGGTTCGATTGCGACTTGGACATCCGGCTTGGAATAATCGGTCCATCGGGAAGTAAGTTCGGCGAATTCAGCATCATCTGCTCCATAAATCAGGGTGCCCGAGGAGACCTGGTCGCCAAGCTCCTGTCGGACCTCCGCACTGGTGAGATCTCTACGAGTGATTGGTTGTTTCTCGAAATATCTAGGGATGCTGGCGCCAGCTGCAAGGCTGGAAAGGCCAGAAAAGAATAATAAGGAAGCCACGGAAGACTTCATAGTGGACTATGTCTATAGATGAAATTGCAAAGAGTGTATTGAATGAGATTGCCACAATGTCTTTGTGGTTCAGACTGTAAAGAGTGTCCTGAATGAGATCGCCGCTGTGCACTAGAGCTAATCGATTATAGAGGTGTCCATGGGACTTTATATACAACTTGATGACTTGACAAGTTCACAGAAAGAGACTGACCCTGGCAACGCGATCAGGAGTGATCGGAATCCTACGGCCGCATAACGATGTCTTCCGATAATTCCGGGTGATCAGCTCAGAAGCTGACAGCAAGGTCACGATGCTAGTGTGAGATCTCGAGTCCTTCCGGCCAACGTTTTGCACGAATTAGGAACAGGGCCATCGGTTCGTGATTGAGGCGGTTGTCGATATTCATCCTAAAAGTGGCCCGGCCGGGAAAATGAATAGAAACAAGTGAGAAGACCGGGGCCTGGAAATGGAGTTAAAATTGATTATTGAAGAAGGCGGATTCCTTCCAGTCGTCCACTTTCCCAAAAATAGACCGAGGCTGAGCTCACACCAATAGTCATGAATGGTATTGTCAAGATACCCCTTGTACTGAGGATGCATGCGGGGGCTGATCCGCGGTGCGTAATATATTCAAGCATAGGGTGTCAACAATTTTAGTTACCACGCGACTACCTCTTGGCACGGTACCGAAGTTCTGGGTCACCACGCGACTATGTAAGAATTTGAGGGACAAATGTTAGCACGGTACCAACGTTCTGGGTCACGCACACGCGAGAACCGATATTATTAGGCATTTTTATGGATTCAACGTGCATTAAAGAAAGTCTTTTACCATGTTTGTATTAGCAGTGTGCCTATTGACGCAAGGAGCCCTGTCCTGCTTGCCTTTGCCTCCTGAAACATTTCCACACACTAGGTGGCTTATTAGACTCTGCTGAATGCCGTCGATATTGCTCGACTGGGTCGTACTACCACTGCCGCTGAACTCTATGTTTACGGCCTTAACAACTTTCCCTTATTCGATTCCTTGCAGGATAATCTTGCTGCATGATTCGATGGCCTCGATAAACGCAGCAGAGAGATTGACTGGCGCATGCCTCGAAACTGCCACCGCTTCGGCGATTGTCAGGTCCGCTCCGCTAATGGTCCCTGTTCTCCCACCTGACTGGGAAGGATTATATCCCTACAGGAAAATCACTTTACAAAGCTTACTATTTACGTCGTCATGATGATTAGAGCAAGAAGACGGTAATGAGAATTTGTTTTTAGAAGGATTCGGTCGAAAAAAGGATGCCTACAAAGCCATCTATGGATAAATGATACCCTTTTTTTCAGTGAGTAGAAAAAGGTGCATTGACAAGAAATTCATCTAATCACGTCGGTCAAGTCATCAGCAAATGATAAATGCAATATTTGCAGATCACATATATCCGCCTCGCTTCTCGCTGCTCTCCGGGTTTGATCCTATTGGCCGACGCTGATGAAGAATTAGATTTAACATGTTGTATTTAAATACCTACGAGTATTCAAAGTTCATCTTGTCAAGCAGAATATTCTGCAGAGTCTCTAATGCGTTCTTTGCTGGTATTTCGGCTATCGGAGAGAGGTTCAGGATAGCGATCCATGCAGAAGCCGCTTGTTCAGCTGTTTCGTGGCCGCGGGTGAGTTTCTCGGCAAATAATCATCCTCTTGGCTAGCGAATGGCTTGTATAATGAACGTTTTCAATTCAATCAACAATTCATTCGGTTTTAATCCCCGAAGCCTCAGAGTTGACTAGATCGACTGTAGGCAGCACGCCGATAGCCACGGAAAGTTCACAATCACGGCCAAGACGCCTTTAGTCAGCTTATTAATCGGCTTATCTCTATGGTTTGCTTCAACGAATCATCGCGGAGCACCAAAGCCGTGATTCAAAACCTCGTTCCATTCGCTGATTGTGCAACACCGATTTGGCAAATATGCAGGGCCCCGATCAAGAAGTCGTTGCGCCGCCGGGATGGCAGCTGCTGTCCAACCACACCAGTGCGGGTGGAGCCGTCCAAGCAGTCCCTGTTCATACATGACCCTGAGGATTGCAGACCCACGTGGCCCCCAGCTCGGCAGAGCAGCTTGCTTGTTTCTGGCACCCTGCCACTCGGCGAGTCGGCGTTTTGTTATTAGATGATCGGGGAATCCTTCAGGTCCTGCTATCAGCTATACAGAAGCTGGTCAGGCAGGGTCTTCTTTCAGGTTGTTCAGTAAGACAAGTATGGCTGAGAACCGTCAGACCCTAGCCTATGTAGATTTCGATTCAGTGGTATTCACGTCATGCGCCACATTGTGGCTAAGTATTGTGGCACCCTCCGTGACATGAGTGCACGGGCCATTAATATGATCCACACTAGTCCATGAGCTGCGGCCGCCGGTATTATTACTCAGCCTATGCTTATCGTCTTCGGCCATTTGCATCTCACGATTTGTATAACTGCCGTAGGCTCTCGATGGCATTTTCAGCACGATTGTAATGAGTGATCGTATGATATGAAACCATAACATAGCCAAGAACAAGGATGCGTGCGGTGTCGAGTCATGGCAGGTTGCTTTCTCATCCCTGTTGCATGCGCTTTCAACTACAGACATAGTATGGAAGTTAAACCTTTGCCCGCCGATTTATGAACGGCCTGGAGAATCCCATATGTAGTTATGGCCGAAGATCTCCACTGATACCAAAATGATAGTCATAGCGCGGATGCCGCTCATTCCAGATTCGTAATCGCTGAGTAAAAAGCGCCGTCTCGCCAACTTGCACCATATCAAAAGACAACTTACAAACAGGATATAAGTCCCTGATCACTGAGTCATCATTTCCCTTTGCCGTTGGCGTGCATTGCCTGTCAGACGTCCTATTCCTTTCGTTTCTTTTCATCCCGTCTCTGAAATGGTGTCCTCATTCCAACTGTGGCTTTCGGCACGGCCCGCCAAACGAACCCCGATCAACGACAAGCCATCGTGGTCTCACCTCGGCGATGCTGCAGTGTACGAGCCGCTCTCCAAGGCAGATGGGCTTTGGTATATTCGGGAGACACATTACATAGAAAACCAGTTTGTAGCTGCTGGATTATCTGGACCCCCATTGTGAGTAACAAGAAAAGAGTCATTATAGCAATTGCGTCAATTCTAATACCTGGGAACAACAGACACATTCATCGCCTGCAAGACGAGTTCTTCAAGGTCGAAAAAGGCGTATTAGGTGCCGTCAAGAACGGCGTGGAATACGCCATCACCAAGGACGACGGAATCTTCCACATTCCCCGTGGCACGCGGTAAGTTGCAGCAAATCTGCCCCGGAAATGCGACGCCCCACGGCTGACGGGAAACCCCCACTCTTCGATTCACAGCCATCGATTCTGGTCACACAAAACAGCCACCGAGGACCTTGTCTTCTCCATCTGGCTCGACCCATGCACCAGCGAGGAACACATCCTCGACGTTAATTTCTTGCGCAACCTGTCCGGCTACGTCAATGACTGCGTCAAGTCTGGCCTGAAGCCGTCTGTACTCCAGATTATTCTCATGACGGAGCACGCATCTTCGCTGCTGTGCCCGCCGTTCCTCAACTGGATGCCGACCCCAATGCTGTTTTGGGCACATCGTGCATGTGCTTGGTATGCACAGAGTATTTTAGGGTAAGTAAATCTGTGTATCCTTTGTTCACGTTCAAAACCTTATCTTCGTGGCAATGTTGTGGCCCTGGCTAATTCATGCTCCATCACCCACAGATATGAGCCATCGTATCCGGAGTATACTAGAGATTCGTATTTTTAGTGATTGTATGTTTAAAGTCCGAGTGGGGACTCTAAGCCTAGTTATGATTCTGAAAGTGTGGATTTATCGAGTTAATTAGAAATATCATAACATGATCATCATTTGCAGTTGATCAGGCAGTTTTCCTGATCAATCTGCTAGTCTAGAAACTCATCCATATATTGAACAGAAACTGTGTGCTGGTGATGCGTTCGTAATGTGATCTATTGTCATGCCTACGTTGATTGCTTTTTGCGATCAGTCATTCTTCCCCGTAACCCACATTCTTGTAATTGCCGGAGTATATTTGGCCCCCACTTCGGAGTAAAGAAAAGACAATTCGAGCATAGCTAATGTCCGGCACGAACCAGTAACGGACCGCCTGTCGGTTGAACCCAATAATGATGCTAAATTTTATGCAAGTGCATCCGGCCTAGATTCTCAAGTGATCCATCCGAAGTGACATGGAAGTACAAATTTCGACCTATATACTGAATTATTGATCTTTTCTGCCTGCTACAAGTCCCTTTCGTAAATACAGATTTCAGCAGACACTGTTCGATTTAGATCAAGTCCCGCAGTCGCATAGCACTCTCATCATGTCGCCATCCGACCAACTTGCGATTCCCAAAGGCTCAACTGTGCTAGTCACGGGCGCCGTGGGTTTTATTGGATCTCACATTGCAGACCAGTTTCTCAAGCAAGGCTACAAGGTCCGCGGGACTACGCGAAGCCCAGAGAAGAACGCCTGGATCAACAAGCTGTTCGACAGCAAGTATGGGCCGGGCAACTTTGAATTGATGGCAATATCCGACATGGCCGAGCCGAATGCCTTTGCACAAGTCGTCAAGGGCGTCTCGGCTGTCGTTCATACGGCATCCATCTTCACAATGGACCCCAACCCGGAGAATGTGATCCCTGGAACCGTGGCGGGGACGCGCAATGCTCTCGAGGCCGCCGCACAGGAGCCCAGCGTGAAGCGCTTTGTGCTCACGTCCTCTTCCACCGCGGCCTTGATCCCCAAACCCAACGACCCCCGCAAGGTTACCACTGATTCGTGGAACGATGAGGCTGTGGCGGAGGCTTACAGCGACCCGCCCTACGGCCCCGAGCATGCGCTGCCCGTTTATGCGGCCAGTAAAACTTTGGCGGAAAAGGATGCATGGAAGTTCATGGAGGAGAAGAAACCCGCTTTTACCCTAAACACGGTTCTACCCAATCTCAATTTTGGCGCGAGTCTCGACACGACCCACCAAGGCCACCCATCCACTTCAGGGATTGTTGTTGCTCTCTTTAATGGAGATACCAACTTTTACCAGGGCGCTGTCCCGCCCCGTAAGTCACGACTAGGGGTCTTTATGAGAGAGAGTCGGCCAATACTAACTCCGTGTGCCAGAGTACTATGTCGACGTCCAGGACGACGCCCTCCTGCACGTAGCTGCTGCGATTCTCCCAGAGGTCCAATCAGAACGCATCTTTGCGTTCGCCGAGCCCATGAACGGAGATCGAATCCTGGCCGTGTTCCGCCAGCTGTACCCTACACGCAGCTTTGCCTCGAACTTCCAGTCTGGCGAGGACCTGAGCGAGATTGTTCCCCGTAAGCGGGCTGAGGATCTGCTGCGTAAGTTGGGTAAAGACGGGTGGACAAGCCTGGAGCAGAGCATTAAGTGGAACACGGAGGATCTTGTGTAAAAGAGGCCCACGATCATTGCCGCAATGCCATGGTCTCGTGGGGTACCTTGGCAAGGCACCGGAGTCGGAAATCGGCGTACGTAGCGGCGGTAGCTAATGTAGCGTACCGTTTATACTATAGTAGAAGCTCTGGAACCCCCACATGTACTTTGTCCAAAAGTCCCTTGAACCAACAATGCGGGTCTCGAGTTCTAGGGCGTGATATTGAGCACATTCCAGCTACGACATATACTTACAAAAGTGATGCTTTTTGGCGAGACTGCATCAATGGACTCGGTCATTGGCTCTGAAAGCGGAGTAGTAGTGATACCCCCCCATGCCGGAAGAAGATCCCGTCTTAGTTGGGCGAGTGATAGTACAGAGCAGCTGGGGCCTCGGATCCTTATCTCGGCTATCGATCTGCCCTGAGCCCCCTGCCCTTCATGCATGGCAGGCGTTTTTTCAGTTGGGCGCTTGGATCTTTCGGCGAGTCAGTGCCCCGCCTTTTTGGGGGTTTTCGCCGAATCTCATGTTGTGATCTGGGTAACAACCACTGTGGCTACTGTGTAAGCGCGCAAACACAATTCTTGTTGCCTATTGGTAATTGTCTTGCTTTGACATCGAGGAGGATTGATCCTTTGTGAAGCCAGACGCTTACGATGATCAACAATGTAATGCCGAGTGTAGAGACTTATGGGCATGTGTATCGTAGCTCAGGCGTAATTGTTACCCGGTTTTGTCTGCCGCTAGAAGTCCCGGCTTGCCTCACTCACTAAGGTGTCCCCGATCTCACTTGATGACAAATCTACCCTCAATGTCTTTACTCTTGACCTGGCAGGGACCTAATGGTGTATACCCTGCGTATAACCACCCCTGTTTACATATTCCTTGCATCATTGCGGGGCGGACCGAGGGGCTTACTGCATGGATGTATCTCTGCCTCCTGGCAGAATATAGCAGGTAGTTAGCCATACCAAGGCTGACATGAGTGATACAGTCCCATTCGCAAGCTGCATTGAAGCCTAGGATGCGATGCATGCTGAAAGTATCAAAACACATCGGAGATTTTCGAAACGCCGAGCTTAGTAAAGCTATAGGGCGACTCTGAGAATCTTTTGCTTTCTACCAGTAACCGAGCTATACTTCTAAATACCTGGCGTCTGATTCTAGTTACAGACCCCGTCTTCATCTCTCTCTTCAGTCAAACAAACCACTATCGTCCAAAAAAGAACACTACTCTCCATTGCAACCATGTCTGTCTACGTTATCACAGGGGTGTCCAAGGGAATCGGAGTAAGTCTGCCAACACCCCCATCTACCCCGTCCCTTATCCCCGCCGCTAATTGAGCTTGGTATAGTTCGAGTTCCTTAAGCAGCTGTCGGAAGACAAGAACAACCTGTTTGTCGGTATTGTCCGTGACAAGGTTGGAACTGAGAAGAAGATTGCGGCCGAGCTAGGCGAGCGCCCCAATGTGCACATTCTCCAGGGAGACCTCACCAAGTACGCCACACTAAAGGCGGCGGCCGCTGAGGTTGCCAAGATTGTTGGCGACCGTGGCATTGACTACTTGGTGGCCAATGGTGGCCTTGTGCCTTCTTTCGATGCCTACGGGCCTGTCAGTGCACTGTATGTCTCCCCTTGCCTCCTGCTGGCAACCCGAGTCCCGAGTCCCGGCTCCGGTCTGTAATGATAAGTGGCTAATAGTGGATGATGCATAACAGGGCCGACAAGGTCGAGGAGACCGATGCTGGTGCCGCTGAGACGTTCGCGACCAATGTCACTGGCAACCTTCACCTCTTCAACCTCCTCGTTCCTCTGGTGAAGAAGGGCAAGGCCAAGAAGGTCATTACCATTTCGTCTGGTGTTGGCGACGTCGACTTGACCAACCAGTGCGAGATTGATGTTGGCCCCATCTACGCTGCCTCCAAGGCCGCCATGAACATTATCGTGGCCAAGTTCAACGCCGAGTACAAGAAGGACGGTATCCTCTTCTTGGCCATCAGCCCTGGCTTGGTAGAGGTTGGCCGTTATGCAGATGGTACGTATCTCCTTCTCCGGCCCGAGATATTTGAGCATTCTACTAACACATTGCCCAGCTACGCCCGAGCAAATGGCTGGCATGATGGGATTTGTAGGCAAGCTCGCAGTGTATGCACCTGATTTCAAAGGCCCCATCACTCCTGAGGAATCGGTCAAGGCTGTTCGCTCAGTTTGGGAGAAGGCTAGCATTGAGGATGGATACGGTGGTGCCTTCATCTCGCACCTGGGTAACAAGCAGTGGGTCTAAGTGCTGCTGCCAGGGTTTTGTAGTTACTCTTTTAGGTGTTCAATGCAATCCAAATTAGAATATTTCATCGTTGGAGAGGGTCAAATAAATTAAGACGTTAAAGACATGGTCGCGAATAATGAACTCAACTGCGTGAGTCTGCTCCTTGGGCGAATAAATTCACAAACATGACGGCTATAGGATGATCATGCCGTCCGCGATTTAGGGGTATGTTCGAGCCACATTTATGATGCCTTGGTCAAGCAAATTTACCTTATTGATGATCTTACCATTCAGTTGCTGCATCAGATGTCTCTACATGCAAAAAGAAGCAGAAGAGAAATCACCAAGGATGGTTGCGTACACAGTTGGGAAATACCAAGAGTTAGACAATGAAGATGGGTTACCCACGAAACCACAACACAGCACAATCCATAAAGCCAACGCGCCTGGTATAATGCTCCGGCTAGATCATCTTAGAATCATCTATAGATAACGATATCAATACTCCATTATGAAAGCAAAGTGTCACTGCCCTCCGCTAAAGTACACCTCGCATGAGACCCAGCATGGCTGGAAACCGTTCTATGGTGCATATTCTGGGTTGGGCCTTTGCATGGACATGCAGTGGTGACTGTCTGCATCTCCACATGCACCCCTGAACCTAATTTCCATCCTTCTTCACGAGCAAGACCACCGAGAGCCCGAAACCCTTCGAAGTCCCGACGTCCATAGCCACTTCCACCTCCATTACCCAAGATAGATTGACTCTCGTCTAGGCCACCCCCACTCATCTCACCTGCATTGAGCTAAGGAGAGAACCAACGGTGACCGAGATGCGAGGGTGTTTCGGTCCCGACATCAGTCAGTTCACGTGAATGTCAGCGGCGTTCGGGGCGACCGACGCCCACGTCGACATATACCTGTCAGTTGTAAGCTCTTTTTACCATGGGTCTAGACTTGTGATTACCCTGAGCCTATGGAAATACTCAGCTTCTACTCAAGGCGAGCTGTTGGGTCCTCAGTCTATGCTTCGCCACCATGAGGCAGGCCCCCGCTATTCCTAAATCCATTGATCTGACATGTTTTCATTTTATTGGTAAGGCGGATAGTTCAGCTGCCTACCATATTGCTTGAAATGTCAGCACATACTTCGAGAGCGATATCTGCGATTCGTCCAGAACACCGCCTTTCGGCGCTTGTTTATGGGTCTCCAAGACATTTGAGCCGATGGATTCAAAGTCATAGAGGGATGTTAGTCCTATTCTGCGAGTTCCTTTCCTGTCTCGTTCGGCGTTTTCGTCTACCTAGCTAGATACTCTTTGACTTGCGATCAGCTCTTCGTCGAAAAGTTCCAAAGTCTACAGGATGACATGATACGAACAGCTACGCTCTGTAAAGCACCGTCTTTTATTGTCAGCCATCAATTGCGCCGGTCTTGCCATGAGAGTAATCATAATATAGTGCAGAGTTATGAGTAATAATGCCCTGAGTATCTAAATCAATTTCATGTTCCACGGAATATGTGAGTGTCAAGAGTGTCCAGTGTAATGGAAAGATGGTTGAGTTATAATTTTTAATACTATTCGATGCTAGCGAGACCACCCTTGACTTGATGTCTTGTTTTCATGTTTGTTGCTTGGTCCGTTACATTCTATCAGCATTTGTTTGATCAGAACTCGAGCCGTGGGCGACTAAGTTGACTTTTCATTGTGTGTCTATACGATATATAGATGGATTGGCCATATGCTTAAGAGAGAAGGTCACACATTCTTTATATAGTCTAAATGTGTATTATCATTGCGCTGTTCTCAAGAAGTCAAAAACAAAGCATATTCCCCAAACTCTTCATCTTTGAGCAAGATATCCCATTCATCCTTGAACAGATTAATCACAAACTCGACACCCTGCCCAGACTCGCGTGGCATCGGGAAACAAAGACGACCCGCCTTATTAATATCATCAAAGAGAGGCCTCAACGCATCGGCTTTGCCACCATTGTCGAATACGCCGCCGCCCCACCGCATTTCCTCGATGCGCAGCATCATCAGAGACGAGAGAATCATGTCGTAACCATGGGCATGCGTGATAGAGAGCTGAAGCTTTGAGATGTCTTCAAGGCGGCGAGCCCGCCCGTATGCGTCTAGCATGGCCTGCGCAGTGGCTGCCTCGACCTCTCTGCGGATAGCCATGGCCACAGCGGCAATGCTGGTTTCGGGAGAAGTTAGTGTCGAGATTGGCATGGCAACCCGATTCCAGAACACCAGGTTGCCCAGGTATTCGAATGGCATGGAACCCTTGGCCGAGATATCAGGACGTCCATCGAGGGTGAGTTGCAGCAAGGCCATGACATCGTCTGACTCGCTGGCTCGACCGGCGGCGACGGCTGCCGCGTGTCTAGCTTTGAGCAGACTGCGCCAGATCAGTGCCGTCATGCTGTCATTTCCAGAGATGCGCGATCCAGCCCCCGCCTCATCCAGACAGCGCTTGTGGAGTGCCGTAAATCTGTCAGATGAGATGTAAAAGACGGCCGACGTCATGGCCTCACCCGAGGATGGTGGCGGAGGGAGAGAACGGTCATGCTTTGAAGGTAAATTCGGTGGCTCCTTGTCTAACAAGGTATACTGTTTTTGTTCAACATCGCCCGTTTCTACTTTTGCACCATCGCCATTCAGTTGGCTGCCCTCATCCACCCATATACGTTCTACCAGACCTCGATCCGAGCTCAACGGGTCGAGGACCACAGGCGCTGTGTTTGCCTGCAGGGCCGCACAGTTGGCAGCCCATATCCTCCACACGTCAAACAAGGCGGTGCCGTCGCAGGCATTGTGATGAGTAGCACCGCAGAGGATAAGGGCTCCCGGTATGAAGTTTGCCTGAGCTTTGAAGCACTCGGCACCCTTGTCCTCCTCGGGAAAATTGAGAAAGTCTCCCCAGAAGACTTCTTCGTCCGGAAACGTATTCATGGGAAAGCCGCTCTCGCTGATCTCCTCGTACGTGACGGAGCCCGTCGACTGGTCGAGTATCTTGAAGGGAAACTGAGGCAATGGCTTGGTATCATCCTCCAAATCGGCCGGGTTATACCGAATCTCAAGCTGGCCCGGGCGTCCGCCTGGTGTTTTTGGGTCCTGCTTGTAGATTTTACCGCTAAGCCAGGGCAGCTGCCGGAAAGTAAAGCGAAGGCCATCTTCCAGAGCCTTGAACGCTTCCTGGGGCGTGATACCGTCCTTCAAAGGGATGTACCATTTCATAGGTAGATAATGGGGAGGAAGGAAGTGATCCAGAACCCCAAGGGGAACATGAACTGTGGAGTTGGACATAATGGCCGTACTGATTTGCAGTGTGATTTTTCCCAAGATGCGACTTCCAAAGGACTATATGAAAGACACTTATTCTAATGATGCGAATATCGTCAAGAGGGACTATAGAACCGAGATCTAGCCTGGATAGGAATTGTGGATCCCCATAACGGATGTAAGCACGACTATTTATAGCAACACCGAACGGTGCCATGTTCGTATGTCTAGACTCTATAGTGGATGCATCATCATGCCCCCTGTAGTCATACTAACCGTATATCTTGCCGAAAACGATAAGCTGCTCCTTACCGACGCCATGGCACCGGCGAAACGATAGTGGATATGTCAGATCAATCTCCGAACCATAACGACACATGTCAGATCATCATGGTTGTACCTGGGCCGTTGTATCTTACATCAGCTCGCAGTCGCTCACCTCGATAGCTATAGTCTCATGATTCTGACTTTTATAGAAGTAATCTTTCATATTCATTATTCATTTTCAGCGTGTCACATAGATTCTTAGACTACATCATCATGACGATCAACAGCTCAAACCAGGAGTCGTTCGACCAATACAGACATGGTCATGAGAAGCAGACCAAGTCCCAGGCTGCGGCGCCCATTGCCGTCGTGGGCATGGCTTGCAGATTCGCTGGCGGCGTGACCAACCCAGAGGAGCTCTGGGATCTCTGTGCTAGCGGTCGAGACGCCTGGTCCCCTATACCAGACTCGCGGTTCGATGTCAAATCGTACTACGACAAGACTTCTGCAAAGAGCGGCCGAGTAGGTTCACACGAGACCTCTTTGTTGAATTGGAGTCTGTGAAAGATCTCGAAAAAGTCCTAGAGTTGCTAAGAAACTTGTTTTACAGAATCATGCCACCGGAGGTTACTTCTTGCAGGAAGATGTGGCCCTGTTTGATGCCGGGTTTTTTAAATTCACAACTGAAGTCGCCAGTGTAGGTCATCTGTTCCTATCTCATCTCTGATCTCTAGCTGACGGGATGGTAGACAATGGATCCTCAGCTTCGGCTGCTATTGGAGGTGACATACGAAGCAACAGAGGACGGTAAGAACTTTCTCCCTACGAGCAACCAAGTACTTTTCTAACATTCTGTTATCAATTAGCTGGTATACCTTTAGAAAAGCTATCAGGGCCGGGCCCCAACACGTCGGTATTCGTCGGTTGCTACACCAAGGATTACCACGATCTTCAGACGCGCGATCCCGAGACCATGCCTCCATCCACTCTTACTGGAAACTATACAGCGATGTTTTCAAATAGGGTCTCCCACTTCTACGATTTTCAGGGAGCCAGCATGTCGATCGACACTGGCTGCTCGGCAGCCCTCGCCGCGCTACACCAGGCATGCCAGACCATCAGGTCGGGAGAGTCTGAAGTTTCCATAGTCGGTGCTGCAAATACAATATTAAATCCAGACATCTACATCGCCATGTCTACCCTTGGGTAAGTTTCATATCGTCCCAGCAGGTCTATTCGTATTACTCGTGGACTGACTCTGGATTGTGAATAGCATGGTAGGCGCAGATGGACGTTGTTACGCGTGGGACTCGCGGGCACAGGGCTATGGCCGCGGAGAGGGCGTCGCCGTGCTTGTGCTCAAGTCTCTTGATGCAGCCCTGCGCGACGGCGACCGGGTACATGCCGTTATACGGGAGACGGGACTCAACCAGGACGGTAAAACAACCAGCATCACCTCTCCGTCCATGGACGCGCAAATCCGCCTTATAAAACATTGTTACCAAAAAGCGGGTCTCGATATTTCAGAAACGGGATACATCGAGGCTCACATGACCGGAACCCAGATTGGAGATGCCACTGAGGCTGAATCTCTGGCACGGACGTTCGGCGCAAGCCGCACAGAGGATGACCCCGTCGTGGTTGGCTCCGTGAAGACCAACGTCGGTCATACCGAGGGTGTCAGCGGCCTAGCTGGTATTATCAAGACTGCAATGGCCATGAAATACCAAGCTATTCCGCCGAACCAGAACTACATCGTGGGTAATTCCAAAATCCCTCTTGGCGACTGGCACTTGCAAGTTCCGACCGGTGTGGTGCCCTGGCCACGGAATAAGCCTTTGCGTGCGTCCATCAACAACTTTGGATATGGAGGCACGAACGCCCATGTGATCATGGAAGGAGCGCCTCAAACAAAGCTCACTGATGGCAACGGTCGCGGAAACCATGTCAATGGTGATGTGTCTCAACTGTTTGTGCTCAGTGCTCAGGACCCCGCCACGGCCAAAGCCATGGCCGGAAAGCTTGCTTCATACATTCGAAAAAGCCTAGAGCGCGAGACAGATCTGGACCCTGCCGATATCGCCTTTACGCTCAGTCAACGGCGGTCGCGTTTCTCCTACGTCACCACTGTACGAGCTCGCGGCTTGGCCGAGTTGGCCGACAACCTTGAAAAGACGGCGGCTCTCAAGGTAGGACACACGCCTACAACTAAGCGAGCACCAAGACTCGGCTTTGTGTTCAACGGTCAAGGCGCGCAATGGCATGCCATGGGCCGAGAACTGCTGTACGCATATCCCGTGTTCGCCAAGGCAATCGACGAGGCCGACCTAGTGCTGCGAGGGTACGGAGCCGATTGGTCGTTGCGCGAGGAACTCCTCCGCGATGCCAAGTTGACTCGCATCTCCGAGATTCACCTGGGTCAGCCGATCACAGTTGCGCTGCAGATATGCCTAGTGATCTTGCTCAACTCATGGGGCATCTATCCATCGGCCGTCACCAGCCATTCTAGCGGCGAAATCGCGGCTGCTTACTGTGCTGGGGCGCTTTCCTTCGAGCAGGCGCTTGGCGTGACATACTGGCGCGGCGAGCTCGCGCGCACACTGCTGGACCCCAAAGCCACAGGTGTTGTCGGCGGCATGGCTGCGGGTGGCGTAGGCGCTGAAGAGGCAGAGAAATACGTGAAAAACACAACTTCTGGCGGTCGAGTCGTGGTGGCCTGCATCAACAGTCCCGAAAGTGTAACTCTTTCGGGTGACTTGGACGATGTAGACGAGGTCGTGAAGCGTCTCGATGCTGACGGCAAATTTGCGCGCAAGCTTAGGGTTGCGCTGGCATATCATTCACACCATATGCTGCACATGGAGTCGGCCTATCTGGAGAAGCTGCAGGAAATTGTGCCATCGAAGCCGACGTGGCCCGGTGACATTACCTACACGTCCCCTGTCACAGGCGACGTTGTGGCATCCGCCAATTCGCTGTCACCAGCGCACTATGTGCAAAACCTCACCAGTCCGGTTCTCTTCAGCCAAGCATTTGAGACCATGTGCTTCAGTGAGACAGACACAAATTCCGCGCAGGTAGATGCCATTATTGAAGTAGGTCCGCACGGTGCGCTGGCGGGTCCCATTAGACAGATCCTGCGAGGCCGTAAGATGGCTTACATGTCTTGTCTTTCGCGGAATGTGAATGCCGTTGAGACCATGCAAGACGTTGCTGGAGAACTCGTGCGCCTCGGGTATCCCGTGTCTCTGTCCGCCGTCAATAAGTACGCAGAGGCAAGCGGTGAGGAGGTTATGACCTCGGATGTGAAATTCGTGCCTGATCTACCGACTTATTCGTGGAACCACGCGAATCGCTACTGGGTCGAATCACGTGTCAGCAAGGACATCCGCTACAAGAAGTTCCCACCTCATGAGCTCCTTGGTATCCCTGTTTCGGGCGCAACAACGCCGGCGTGGCGAAATTTCATACAGCTCGTCGACCTTCCATGGATTGGTGACCATCGTGTCGATGGCATGGTCGTACTGCCTGGTGCGGCCTACGTGTCAATGGCCATCGAGGCGGTTCGTCTGGTCACAGATCCGTCTGAGCAGAAGATTCGTGGCTATCGTGTCAAAAACGTCGAGTTTCTGAGTGCCTTGGTAGTTCCCGAGTCTGAATCGTCCGGCGGAGGTGTCGAGACGTACTTTCGTCTAGGACCGTCGCGAGAGGGGGCGAAGGGTGGCTGGTATGAATATGAAGTGCGCTCTTCAAGGGGCAACGACGTGTGGGTGGAAAACTGTCGTGGTCTCGTCTCGGCAGTGGTAGATCAGCAAGACGTCGAGGATGCCGTCGTACCCAGGACTGACTCCTTCCTGAAAACGCAGGAATCCAAGGTCCGACGAGTGGCCGGTTCAGCGCTTCGGGAGGATGTCGCCGGTATGGGAATCAGATATGGACCAGCCTTCCAAGGTATAGGAGACGTTATGGCGTCCAAATCTCTCAAGCGAGCAGCGGCTGATCTGGAAATCATCGAGCTTGAATCCCCATCAGCGTCGTCAGACTTCAGTTCATATGTTATACATCCAACAACTTTGGACTGTATCGTTCAAGCTACTTACACCAATTTGCCGCCAGACACAGGGAAGGCGTCCATGGTACTTCCTAGGTCGCTCCAGGATGCGTTTGTGCCTCGGTCGCTAAACAGGGGGGCCGGTGAGCGTCTGGAGATCTTGAGTGAGCTACGGAATGCACAACGCAAAGGCTTCACTTCGGACGTAATCGTTGCGAACTCTCAACAAGGGGATGGTCATGGCAGGAGTCCTCTTGTCATCAATCAGCTGTTCTGCCAGGCCATTCCCCGCGATGCTGAAAGTGGCCCTCAAATCCCTCTCTATGATAGTCGTTGGGTTCCGGCAGTGAGGTACGGAGGCATCCCCTCGTATGTCAAAGAATCCATGCGCAATGCACTCGCCTACGAAGAGCGAGACTATGAGAAAAAGGTGGTACGCGCGTCCTATTATCTCATTGCCGACGCGGTGGCCGACCTTGAGGGGCAGCCAACGGACAATTGGACACCACACCAGCACGCATTGTTTTCGTGGATGAAGAGTGTGGTGGCCCGTGGCCAATGCGGACAACTGGTGCATGGTAGCAAGGCCTGGGGCGGAGCCAGTAAGGGCCTCAAGCAAAAGCTATTTGACGAGCTCAGGTCCAAGGGGCCACATGGGCGTCTCATTGTTCGTATCGGCCAGAAGCTGGCTCGGATTGTGCAAGGCCAGATAACGCCTGCCGCTCTCCTAGAGGAAGACAACAGTGATCTCTTAACGCAGTACAAGAGTAGCCTACCAAGCCTACAAACTCGCAGCTACAAGCAGCTTGCCAGGATTGCGAGTGTCCTTGCTGTTCAGCAACCGGGAGCACATGTTCTCGAGATTGGCGGGGGTAATGGGGCAGCTGCTCGGACTCTGTTGGAAGCATTCGGACATGGAGGCAATGGTGGGCTGCTCATCGACAAATACATCTTCTCCGATGTCTCCTCGGTTCATTTCGACGCAGCTAAACAGCAATTGGCCCCATGGACCAATGTGCTAGAGTTCAAAGAACTCGAATTGGAAAAGGAGTGGCCGGCGCAGCCATCGCACGAAGTAGCCGAGCAGAGCATTGACCTGGTGGTAGTATCCATGAACTTACACACAATCAAGAATTTGAAGACGACATTACAGAATGTGAGGAAACTGCTGAAGCCCAGCGGCAAGCTTCTACTCGTTGAGAAGACGCATGTCAGCCTCGACGCGCAGCTCATCCTGAGCACACTCCCGGGTTGGGAACAGCAGGGCGAGCAACCGGAACTTGCCAGGGGGCTTGAAGCGTGGAACAATCTACTTCGCGCCAATGGATTCACCGGCATCGAATTCGACATTTCTGATTGTGAGGAGCGACGATTCCAGAGATCGGCCGTCATGATGACAAGCGTGGGGCTTGAAAAAGAGTCCGCCGCAATCCCTAATCCCTCAACCCCCAGCGTCGTGACTATCGTTCGCGATAGCTCTGCGCTTTCGCCGTCGCGACAGGAATGGTTCTCACAGCTATGCGAAGCAATCCATGTGACAACAGGCATCAGGGCTACGGTAGAGACCCTGGAGGATGTACAGCCAGGCGAGAATCAAGTACACATATTGGCCACAGACATGACCGAGAACAACTGTGTGCTGGACAGTATGGACGAACTCACATTCCATAAGCTTCGTCGAGTACTTTTGGAGAGTCGAGGAGTTTTGTGGTTGACCACCGGAGCCGGTCCAGACGCCGTCGCGACACCCGCATCTTCCCAGGTGCAGGGCCTGCTGCGAACTCTTCGCCATGAGAATGTGGATAAATCCTATGTCTTACTGGAATTACCAAGAACCTGGGCCGAAGAGGCGGACATGGTTATAAAGCATGTCACCGGGGTGTTCCAACAAACATTGTTGAACAATGAGTCTGGCCAGGCTGACGCCGACTGGGAGTATGCAATTAAGGACTCGGCCGTCCATGTGCCACGAATCTACCCGAAGATGGTCGGCAAAGACGAGTCCGAGACAGAGTCTTTCCGGCCTTTCCTGAATTCAAGCCGGCCGTTGGTGTGGGAGACATCGGACTCAGGTGAAGGCGACTTTGTCGAACAATTGTATGGACCTACCAAAGCGCTTACTGACGGTACCATTGAGATCGAGACTCGAGCTTTCAGCCTGAGTCCTCATGTCCATGGCAATGCGACAGAAGTTGACGACGAAGAAGACACAGCTGTATACGAGTTCGCGGGCATCGTCACCGGACTTGGCCCCCATACGGATGCCAGCGGGCTCCAGCTCGGCGACAAGGTATGCGGCGTGACGAAGGGTCCATATGCAAGTACAACACAAGCGAATTGGACCAGCGTCGGTAAAATCCCTGGCGGCTTATCCTTCGATGAGGCTGTATGTGCCCCGCTGGCATATTCTGGGGCTTATCACGCTCTTGTGCACGTAGCCAGATTGCAGAAGCATGACAAGATCCTCGTCGTGCAAGCTAATGGCGAATCCGATGGCGCCGCTGGTCTTGCTATTGCGAAACATCTGGGTGCTGAATTGTGGTTTGCTGCGAACGACTTGACCGAGGCCGAAACCCAGCGAGTCATCGATACATTCCAGCTTGCTCCCAACCGAATCCTTAAGAGCCGTTCCGCTAGAGATTTGGACGATGCTATTAAGGAGCAGACTGGGGGACAGGGCGTAGATGTGGTTCTCACCGGGCCGACGTCTTCGCTTTCTGCACCTCTGCTGCAGTCTGCTCTCAACAGCGTCGTGCATTTTGGTCGTTTTGTTGAAATCGGCCCCTGGAACAGAAGCCTAGACGTTACCCAGCTTGCCACAAAATGTGCTACATATGCGCGAGTGGATATGGTAAAGTTGAGCGACCACAGTGCTCGGCTTATGAAGGAGGCATTGGATGCGAGCCTCAACATCATCTCTCACGGTGTCGCGTCATCCCCGTCATGGTCTCTGTCGCCCCTTGCTCCTGTGGCGAAATTCTCGCCTTCGCAAATGAGTCAAGCATTGCGGCATCTGCAGCAACAGCAAGGTAAGCCGGGCAAAGTGGTCATTGAGGCCCAGGCCGATAGTCTTGTCAAAGCCATTATGCCGATAACCGCACCTCGTCTCGATGACGAGAAAGCCACTTATCTGATTGTCGGTGGTGTGGATGGTATTGGCGGTGCTATTGCTTCATGGATGGCGTCGAAAGGCGCCCGAAGCGTGGTCTTGATCTCCCGTAACGCAGGGACACACCCAGAGGCGGAGGAACTTATCGAAAATGCGGAGCTGCGAGGATGTCGCCTCCAAGTCCTCAACTGCGATATATCAAGTGAGGAGAGTCTTGTCCAGCTTCTCAATCAAGTTTCAGCAACGTCGCCTCCGATCCGTGGGGTTATCCACGCTGCCAATGTTCTAGCGGTACGTAAACAAGAAGCAACGCGTCCCAAATGCTAAGAACATATTCACTGACAAGTTTGGAACAATATAGGATACCGTGTTTGATCGCATGTCATTCACACAATGGCAAAAAACCGTGGGGCCCAAGGTCGCTGGCACGATGAATTTGCACAAATACTTACCTCAAGATCTATCGTTTTTCGTGCTTCTGTCGTCAGTCATCGGAGTGATGGGCCACGTCTCCCAGGCCAACTACGCCGCGGCCAACGCGTTCGAGGACGCCTTTGCCAGCCACCGCGTCAGTCTGGGTCTCCCTGCTGTCAGTCTGGCTCTGCCAGCCGTTTCAGGCGTCGGAATGGTGGCATCTGATGAAGATGCCCGGCGTCGTGTCGAAGCACTTGGAACCGAGTCGGTACATGTGGACGATGTATTCCGCCTAATCGAAGACGCCGTCCAGCACGACACGCACCTACAGCACAAGATGAAATTCAGTCAGTTCAAATCGTCACCTGGTGAAGCGCAGAGGATCGTCGGCCTGCAACCGTGGAGCAGTCTGTCGCCCGATGCTGCCATTCGCCGCGATCGGCGCTTCGGCACCTTACGCCTGGTTGAAACGGGATCATCCGGGTTGACACAGTCCTCCGAGACCATGTCCTTCGACCCTACTGCGCTTCTGGTCCGCGCACTTGGTAGTAGCAGGATTAATGGAGGCGATGGTCCAAAGCAAGAAGTGGAGGGCACAGCACAGGTAGCAGAAGCACTGGCCACGAAATTGGCGGCCATTTTCAACATTGACGTTGTGACCGTGGATCTAGAACAGGGCGTTTCTGCTCTCGGGGTCGATTCTCTCGTTGCCGTGGAGCTGCGCAATTGGCTCGCTCTCGCAGGTCAGGCGAAGCTGTCTATTTTCGAGGTCCTACAGAGCGCTTCGATCAATCAGGTTGCAGAGCTGATCATCAAGAGAAGTGCTCTAGTAAAATAGGTAACAAATGGGGGCGCTGTTAGCGGGGATCGGGCGTTAAAGGTTTCAGCTACGGAGGGCCGGTGGGGGTAGCCCTACGTATTATATTTACAATAACCAATACATCATCACTCTTTGACCCCAAATCACTTCTATTGACAATTGACGATAAGTCTGCTTTCCGCTTTTCTCGGTCTGCCAGCTAGAAGAAAACCCTCAGCTAAGTGCCACGCGTCCAGTTCTGCGTGACACGATGAATAGTTCTGCCAGGTTGGGTACGGCACGTCTGGTGCAACAACGCAAGTGTGAAGTTTCACGGCAATGAAAATTTGGCTTTACTTCACAATACAGCCGCATTGCAGCGATAGGATTCTCGTAACCATTCGTTGAACATACGCTCTGTGACTATGTAATTTATCTTGTTTCTTCAGAATCCAATCAAGTATTGGTTGGATCATCATTATGGTTCGCGTCCAGTTGTTCCTTGCAGATTACTTACTTATTACGCCTACAAGCTAGTACTGTTGGTTGGTTGGGTGTTGAGCGGGAAAGAACCACTGGGGTCGGTAACCCCCAGTGGTACCTAACCTAGGTTAGTGCAATTCCGGGAGTTCAAACTGTAGTTAGCTTCACTCCCATAACAACAATCTCATCTTCAACTACAACATTGAATCGCGTCCTTTTTGGAACTTCCTTACATTTCCCACTGGTTCTTATGATTGTCGTTCACATACAATCTTATCCACTGTCCCTCAACCTGTCCACGCCGTGTGAGGCGAAATGCGACACACTGAAGCTCGAACCAAACGCGATGAACATCTGCCGGCTAGCTGTCTATGCTGAGGCTGCGAAGCCCACATGCATTCCTGGTAGCGAATGCAAGTGGGAAGAATATGATGATCAATCCCATGATGCAGTAGATGGAACAGCACTCCAAGACGTATGCACTACTAATCCAAGTAACAAAAAAGATATTTAATTGGAGGTGTGATTTTTTCAACTGCAAAATTTATTTGTCTATTGGTAACCAATTGTATAGTACCATTATGATCGAACAACACATCTTCTACTCCTCAAGCTTCGTGCCTCAATCCCTCGCCTTGGCACCTTGATCCAGTCTTCCATCCTCTACTCGGAGCGCCGGATTCCTCGAGAAGATACTTAGGATCGACAAATATGCGTCCATGACCACTTCCGCGTCCTTAAGTCCATACTTTTCCTTCTGCAGCTTCACCGTGATCAACGGTGCTTTGGTAGGGTCATCACTCATCTCCAGCGTAATGTCATATGGTGATCCAGCACGCGGTGTGCGCGAGTCAACAATCTTGGCATCTCCGATATTTCCGCTTTCCGCCTGTCCTTGCTTGTAGTCAAAGACAGCCTGGAACAATGGCGCCTGCGAGTGCGCGTCCTTGGGAGATGGCGTGGGCAAGCCTAGGTGTTCAACGAGGGCACCATATGGCACGGCGCTGTGCAGAAGTGCAGTGCGCATCTGTTCTTTGGCCTCGGAGAGCGCCTCATTGAAGATCTTGTCCGAATCATATGGCAGGCGGACTGGTAGCAAGTTGGCAAAGTAGCCCATGGTCGCTTGGTCTGCGAGCGTGGACCTGTTGCTGTCTGCAACGCCGATCACGACGTCGGTGCTGCCAGTCAGACGTGCCAGCAAGACCTGGAACGAAGCCAAGTAGTAGTGCATTGGTGTCGCCTTGTGCTTCCGGCTGCGGTCCCTGATACGGACGCCAATCATGCGGTTAAGACGAGCTGACACCTCGTGCTCCGACCAAGCCGTTGTTGTTGCGGCTGCTTTGGCTTCCGGCACATTGAGTGTTGGAAGTCTGGCGGGAGATTGCTTGAAGAGGTCAGCCCAGTAGGTGAGATCTTTGCTGAGCGCTCCAGACTCGAGCTGTTTGCGCTGGCGTATAGCGAAGTCGGCATAGCTCGGAGGAGTTTCGAGCTTGACGCCGCTGTACAATTGACCAATCTCAACGAAGACATGCTCGGTAGTCCAGCCATCTCCGACAAGGCGATGGTAGGCAATGATCAGAAGATGATCAGTCGGTGACCATTGGTAATGCACGACCTTGAACGTGTCTCCCTTTTCCAGGTCGTACTTGTAATTCTCAAGGTCCTTGAAGCCCTGATCTGCGGCAGCCTTATCGGCAACCTTGATCGTCTCAAACTCCACTCGAGACGAGTCAGTGATGAACTGGATCGGAACGTCCGTACCGGCTGGGTCTTTGATGAACGCTGTGCGGAATACGTCGTGGCGTTGCAGTACTTGCTTCACCGCCCAGCCGAGGCGCTCAAGGTTGAGAGTGCCTTGCATGTACATGCCGATAGTGCTGTTGAAAGTTTGCGGATCCAAGGGGAGTTGAAGCTGTTTCCAAGCGTAGTCTTGTATCAAAGACAAAGGTGCCTCACGTTCCGTGGCCTGGACACTGGCGGAATCTAGGGTGGAGAGTGGCGTCAAATCGCCACTGTGGTCAGCGAACGAGGAAGACGAGTCGTCAGAGACAGCTGAAGATTCGATAATCTGAGGAACTTCTACTGTGTCTGCCTCAGCACGAGACTCATCGGAGCACAGGGGAATGGCCTCCGGCGACAATCGGCCGACTGCGGAGTCGACGAGATTGTTGACCGAAGCACCGCCAAGAATTTCCAATAGCGGGATGTCGATAGTCAGATTCTTGGAAAACCAAGAGGCGACTGTGACCGCACTGAGGGAGTCGATACCCTGATCAATTAGCGGAGTCGTGAGACTGAGGTCGTCAGCCTCTGTGAGCTGTAATGCACCCCGGATCCGAGAACAAAGGCCATCAGTGATAATCGAACGGACTTGGCTGATGCTATCTGCTTTGAGGAGCTGATCCTTGACAGACCCGACTGCGTCAGCAGCATTGCTACCCTTGGCGCGGCGGTCAGAAAGCTTGAAGTATGCGAATCGAGGATCGTCAAAGTACGGAATCCTGTCGTGGTTGGCGGGGTCCATGTACGGCATGCCGGTGATCACCTCAATGTCCGTGACCTGCTTGTTGCGACCAGTCACAACAGCCTCTGCAAAGAGAGTATGCAGCTCCCATTCGTTCACCTCATCGAAGATGAACTTCACTACATCGTACTCGTGCTCACGACCCGCTCTTGCGATGAAACCAACGCCGAAAACGGCACCAATGTCAATGGTAGATCCCGCCATGCCACGGGAACGTCTGTTCTGAGCCAGAGCGTGTGTGTACGCATTCGCAGCGCTGTAGGCTGCCTGACCAGGATTTCCTGAAACCATCACAAAGGATGAAAACATGACGAAGAAATCAAGCGGCTGGGCGGGATCAGACAAGCGCTCACTGAGGAGACGAGCGCCGTCCACCTTTGGTGCCAACACCATCTCGAGCATCGGCAGGTCCATGTTCTTGAACATGACGTCTTGGAGCACAAGTGGTCCGAAAGCTACTCCAGCGATTGGTGGCATTGATTCGCGGATTTTGGCGAGACCTTGGTCTACAGAGGTCTCGTTTGAGGCGTCCCTAAAGTTGAGTCAGCATCAGGTATTCATTAATCACTCAGAGCAGTTCTTACATTGGCAGAACCATGACGATAGCCCCCAGTGCTGTGATCTCATCAATCCATCGTTGGTCGATCTTGGGCGAGCGACTCGACAAAACAATGTGGCGTGCGCCACGCTCAACCATGAAGCGGGCAATGGAGCGACCTAGATCACCAGCAAGACCAACAAGCAGGTACGTCTTGTCAGATACGAAGATGGTGTCTGTTTCCATCGATCTAATGCGACTAGGGATGATTTGCTCTGATCCCCAATCAATCAACGTGTCAATGCTCAGGGCATTTCCAAGCAACATATCGCTGCCTTTGAGGACCGACACCTTATGATCAATCAAGATCTCCTTTGAACTAGAAACTGCCTCTGCTAGCACTTTGTGTGCATTATCTGCATTTGCCTCCGACTTTGGTGTTGTGGTATCTTGGAAGAGATAGTCCCTGTGACGAACCGAGCAGCCGGCAGGGATGCGTCGGGCAAGTCGCTGGCTAAGGCTGGCTTCGCTCTGATCGCTTGACAGATCATAAAGCAGGTTGATGTCTCGGGGGAGCTTCTGTTTCAAGCTGCGCAAGGTCTCCTTCTCGTGCAATGAGATCCATCTGACGCCACTTGATGGGTTTGCTTGGGTGGATGCAAAGCTGATGACGATTCCAGCCGCTTCCGCTCTCTTGGACAGGGCATCGATGCACAGCGTAGGTGGCTCAAAGACGAGGATCGATGAACCAGGAGCGACATTTGACAACATGCTGCTGGCGACTAGTTCCGCAAAGATGCTTGGAAGAACCGTTGCTGCATTCGTCTCCTTGACTTTGACCATCCGACTTGGAGAAACTTGGAGTGAAGACACATTGTTCTCAGATAGCGTCACAACAACTTCACCAGTCGCAACATCTTTGCCCTGGATGAGATGATAGAATCCCGATTGACCAATTCGCAGGGCCTTGGCCAAGGAGTACTGCGCCTGAACCTTGATAAAGGACTCCTCCGTAGCGTCGGGCACAAAACGCTCCTCGAGATGCCGGAAGAAGGATTCCTCGCCATCATTCTCGAAACGCAATGCATCCTTGCTAGGGTTCATGTCGGCTAGAATTGCACGACGGTTCGAGTTCAACCGGTTGTTCTTTTCGGTGTCTGGCTTGAGGCGAGGGACAATGATCTTATCCCCTATCTGGTACAACTCGGGTTCTTGCGTCCAAAGTAGGCCGCTCTCTTGCCAGTTCTTGGCATCTTCAAGTCGAGATACGGTTTCAACCAGGAACTTCGGGTCCAAGTTCTCGGCCTTGTCGACATCTAGTACCTGAATGTCGATATCCGGATATTCCATACGGAGAGTACGCAAAAGTCCAATCGTCATGGCTTGCTGAGGATTCTTGCACCAAGCATCCTCTGTAACCCACAAGACGTGAATTGCAGCGTTGAAAATGGTTTGCAATGCATCCAGCTGCTCTTCATCGAGCCCAGCAAATGTGTGCTCGTCCAGTTCGGACAGCACGACAAACGTGGATCCTGGTTGGTAGTCCAAGTCAATGATCTCCCGAATGCTTGGGACTGTAGTGAACTCGCGTCCTAGAGGCGCGAGAATATCTGGGATCTGATCCAGAATCGCCGATGTCTTGGGGGACGAGCCTCCGACGAAGACCAATGGAGGATACGATTCCTTTGCAGGGGCCGACAGTGGCGCGTCAAGTCGTTGCACCAAGTCGTCAACGGCATGACTCATGAACACACCGTTGGGAAATACTCTACTGTCTGGGTCAAGAGAACGGCTATCAATGCCCGAAAAGCCAGACTTCTTGAGTACAGTGTCCCACTTATCATAGGAGATGAATGGCTCGAGGACACGTCCTTCGTCGTGACCAGCCCACCAATCAGGGAACAGACCGAAGATGAAACCAATACGGGTGTGCTCGTAGTGAGCGACTTCGATGACTATCAAGCGACCATTGGGCTTCAATAGAGATCGAGCATTCGACAAGGTTTCCTCGAGGCGAGGAGTAGCATGGAGTACATTTGATGCTATGATCAAATCGTACGAGTTTGGCGTAAAGTCTTGCTCACTTGGATCGCGGCGAACATCGAGGGGCTGGAAGATAAGCTTCTCGCTATGCCGCTCGAATTCCTTGCCGGCTTGCTCGAAGAAAGCACTTGAGATGTCGGTGAATGTGTAGCTATTGAACGAGAGATGGTCGTCGTTCAGGAACACACGCGTCGCACCTCCGGTACCAGCGCCTAAGACATGTGAGCGGATATTTGGATCCGGAGTATCAATACTTCAACTGACCAATTTCGAGAACGTCTAGATTCTGATGACGATGGTTGATCTGCTCGAGCAGCATCTGGAAATAGCTGTATGAGTGACCGTAACTTACCGTACCTCCGTAGAACTCAGTGAGCAAGCCATCGTGATCCATGAGGTCGAAGGCATTCCGGTTCTCACGCAGGGTCTCCAGGGCACCCTCTCCAACTCTTTGAATGAGTCGGACAAAGGGATGAGACCGATTCCTTGGTCGTGTCAGCTCATAAACACTAGGTCCACGACCATTGAGATGGGGAAAGTAAGTACTTACTGTTCGATCAGTTGCTCGATGTCTGATTTCGTGTCATTTTCCCAACTTGGCTGCCACCAGACGTTGCGACCTGCCTTGGCCTCAGCTAGTTGATGCTCGCACCACTGGATGTGCTTTACGAAATGGAAGGGAGCCTTCTCGCGATCCTCTGCTTCCAGACTCGCAATGAACGACTTGATGTACCAGTACGTGATACGCTCAATGATCTCGACGTCGGCCTTGTCTTGCTCAGTGGCGTGGTACTTGCTGTCATCAAGCAGAGCATCTGTGTTGATCGGCGCCCATTCCCATTTCGAAAACATCTCATGGTCGTCGGCGGCCGTCGGCGGAGAGAAGGGCTTGAAGCTAAGACCCTCAATGTGAAGCATGGTGGCCCCGGACTCGGGGTCAAATACTTCAATGTCGCCTTCCACTCCGTTACCGACACTCGCTGCGCTGGTTGAGATAAAGTCAATTTGTTTTGACGAGCCATTGATGTGACCAGCCACCCATGGGTTGAAGGCGATACGAGCGATGCCGGTGGGTACGAGGAGTGATCTCAAGCGTCTATCGCCCGGCGCAGTGTATGCTCCGATAAAACTTTGAAAGGCAAGATCGAGCGTGGCAGGATGCATTGCAATGTTGTGATTGCCATCAGTCAGACGATGGAAATCAAGAGATCCTCGGGCCTTGCTGTCGCCACGCTTCAGGTTGCTGATACCACGGAACTCCTTTGTGTAACCGTATCCAAGTTCCGAGAGCATATTGTAGAATCTGTCAATGCTGACGTTATTCAGGTGAGGAGGGTCTTGTTGACGAGCTGGAAGAGTATCCGATGCCCCTGGTCCGTATGTAACGGCAAGCGTACCAGAAGCCGAGCTCGACAGTCCAGTCTCTCTGGCCAGGGAAGAATTGATGACAAATTGGTAGGTGGCGCAGTCATCTGTGGTCTGCGAAGAGTCGAGGGTCAGCGAAAGGCTGAGTTCAACCATGCTATTCTCGTCGTTGAAAGTCACAGCTTTGTTGATGTCGAGATCCAACACCTCTAATAGCTGGATCTCCTTGTCGCCAGCAACACTGATGGCAGCCTCCATACCCATAACGACGTAGCCCGCACCGGGGAACACCGTTTGGCCCTGCAAAGAGTGGCCGCTGAGCCATTCAATGTCTCGCTGCCGAATGAAGTTATGCCATTGATTGGAGATTGGGCTACTTTGGGGCAGACGCTTGCCGAGCAGAAGGTGAGGTCGGTCGCCGCCAAGCCATTGACGGAGCAAACGGGACTCCTTCCTGTATGATCTCGAGTGATCCCAGGCATAGCATGGCAGTTCCTTTGACAAGTCTGCATTATCACCGTCTGGTGACAGACTGCCCAAGAGACGGTCAATGTCAATAGCAGGTGAGCCAAACTGCGACCAAAGGTAGCCCAAGCACGCCGAAAAGGCCTCCGTGTCGGTCTTTTTCCTGTCCATACATCCGGTATATGGCAGGGTTGATCCTGCACAGTTCTCTATTGTCTGGAGACTTGGGCCCTTCAGAGTCGGGTGTGGTCCGACCTCGATGCAGACATCGAATGGCGAATGTTTCACTAGCGCCTGCTCGATGGCATAGGAGAACAGCACAGGTGAGAGCAGGTTGTCGCTCCAGTATTCTGCCTTGAGGTCTTCAGGTGTCATGATGTGGCCTTCAAACACCGAAGAGATCCATATGGCGGATGGAGTGGCTTCCATGTTAAAAGTATCGCACCCACAGGCCTTGAGAGCCGTGACATACGGGTCCGCGCAAGGACGCATATGATGCGAATGGTAAGCCTTGTCGACTTTGAGGATGCGATTGAACTTTGATTCCTCGTTCAAAATTTCCTGTATCTCCAAGATTGCATCCTTGTCTCCAGAAAGTGTGACACTTTCAGGTGCGTTGCTAGCCGCGACACCAACTCTGCCTTCGAATGTCTCCAGAGCACACAACTCTGTCGCATCGTCGAAGGAGGTGCCTGCAGCCATCATCGCCCCCTCAACACCGTTCGGCCCACTCGCGTATTTGGAAGTAAGGCCACGGAGATACGCAATGCGAATTGCTTGGGTTGCAGATATGAAGCCCGCAGCGAAAGCACACGCAATCTCACCTGAACTATGCCCCACAACGACTTTGAATGTGGCGCCTGATGCTAGTAGCAGTTTTGTAAGGACAATCTGGACGGCACAGCAGAGAGGCTGGGAGTAGGCGGCTTGGTTCACGTTTGATTCCTCGCCTTCGAGCAGCAGCTGGTCTATAAGCTTCCACTCTGGACGATACTCGGCTGGTAGACTCTGGAGCGAGTCATCGAGTTCCGAAATGATAGTACGGACATAAGGAATCTGACACAAAGCCTTGCCCATGGCCGGCCACTGAGCACCCTGGCCAGTGAAGATTCCAAGTATCTCTGGCTTTTTTCTGACGTCAGAGCTCGTTGCAATCGAGTTCTTACCCTCGACGGCGGTGGCGTCCCGCTCAAGGGCGTCGCAAAGCTCTTGAGCTGACTGACTTGAGATTACATGACGGATCTGGTGATTCGATCGCTTTTTGAGCATTGTCCATGCGAGATCTTCCAGTCTCAAGTCGGGACGAGCCTGAACGAACTGCTTCAGATCTACCATGGCCGCCTTGAGGGATGCAGAAGAATGTGCCGAGAGGACGATGGGAGCGAGCAGGGGTGATGATGTGTTGATAGATGGCGAAATTGATTTGGGCTCATAGGACTCGACAATGATATGCGCATTGGTACCACCGAAGCCGAAAGAGTTGACACTCACACGCTTCGGTTGGCCAAACTTCAGCGCCGGCCAAGCCTGCTGCTTGGTGACAACCTCGAGATCCGTGTAATACGGAGCCACTCTTTCACTGAGCTCATTGAAGAGCATGTTGGGTGGCAGAGAACCATTCTGAATGATCATTGAGGCTTTGATCAAGCCTGCAATGCCAGCAGTGCCCTCCGTGTGACCAATTATGGTCTTGATACTGCCTACGTACAGAGGCTCCTCATCGGCGCCGCGTTGCCTTTCCCCAAAGAATGCCGACGAAATGGCACGCGCTTCTTGGGGATCGCCAGCGGGAGTACCTATAATGTCTTGTCAGCGAGGGATGCCTTCCTATTAGACGTTAAGAAACTTACCAGTTCCATGGGCCTCAAAATACTGGCAGCGGTCTTCTGGCTTTGTCAAGTCCAGACCTGCGCGTTCGTAGACTTGGCGAATGAGAGCCTCCTGTGCAAAAGAGTTTGGCATTGTTATTCCCGCAGTCTTGCCATCCTGGTTGATACCACTCTCCCGGATAACACATTCTATCCGGTCACCGTCTGCAATAGCCTGGCTAAGGGTCTTCAACACAACCGTGGCGACACCCTCGCCTCTAGCGTAGCCGTCTGCCGCGGCGTCCCACATCCGCGATCGACCGGTCGGCGAAAACATGTTGAGTTTGCTGGCAGAGATGAATGGAACGGGGCCCAAGATCAAGTTGGAGCCGGCGGCCACGGCTACCTTGCTCAACCCTGTCCGCAGTTGTTCGACTGCATGGTGGACGGCAACGAGGGAGGAACTACATGCTGTATCAAACGTCATACTCGGACCATGCCAGTCAAAGACGTAGGATACTCTGTTGGATAGAATCGAAGCCGATGTGCCCGTGGCGGCATATGTGTTCAGGGCGTCTAAATCGTAGTTTTGATGATCGAGGAAATCCCGCTGCATCATGCCTACATAGACGGCTGTAGGCGATCCTCGAAGGTCCTCCATCTTCAAGCCGGCGGCACAGAGACCCTCGTACACCGTTTCCAGCAGCAGGCGCTGCTGTGGGTCGACCGTCTCTGCCTCGCTCGGCGGAATGTTGAAGAAGGCCGGATCAAAGGTGTACGGATCATCCTCCAGGAAGTAGGCGTACTGGGCATTGGTACGCCCGTGGTGGGATCCATCCTTGTGATAAAAGGCATCCACGTTGAAACGCTCTTTTGGCACCTTTCTCGACAAGTCCCTCGGGTTCTTGAGGAGATCCCATAGCTTGGAGGGACTGCTGGCTCCGCCAGGGAAGCGGCAGCCACTACCAACGACCGCGATGGGCTCGTTGAGATGGGAAGTAGATGACGGCATAGTATCTTGAGTAAATGTGTTAAGTTGGAGGGTGGTATGTGTTATCGGAAAGCCGTATCTGTATGTAATCAGATATGCTCAACCGCGTGTGAGCAGACGGCAAAGCTGAATGATGATAGCTTTGTGGATAATGTCTTTCAACCAGTTGCGGTTCTGTCCTTGAGAAGAAGTGTTTATGTGAGATTGTTGAGAATGTAATGTGCCCTAGTAGACTGGTTGAACAGATGTCTATTTCGTAGAGAGTGACGGTAGACTACACTTAGAATGAATCAATCCTCAAGACCATGTCGTATCGTGACAGGACTTCATATAGCCAAGTAATATCTTTTTTTGTTTGATTATACGTCTATCAATGTTGCCTCATCCCAAATTCAGGCCCACACGGCTCGCAATCCGGTATTGTGTAGTATCCCTGTTGATGACACACGGCGATTGGGCCCGTGGAGTGTGGTATCTGAGATAGCCGCGAAGGATGACTGCCCCTCCACCGCTTACAACCCATGTCCGGAGGATTGAGTGGCGGTGATCTGTGCGTGCAAGAGGACGTTTGGGCGTCACAAAGTCAATAGTATGTGTAACGAATAACCGAGTCTTACATTCGAGCAATAGACCTGGTCTACTATGCATTCCGACTATCTCATCACATCTCTACTTCCCGCAAATTGTCAAATTTTTACTAATTGGAAGAAACTCCAGCACCAGCCGCCCTTTCGGAGCTGGTGGTACCTATTGTTTGCGGTGTCCAAGGCAGCCAAGAGATGCAATTCTATGTCAAGAAGTATTACATAATGACGAGGCCATACGAATACATGTGAAAAGTGGTTGAATCGGTGATATCACGTAAACACTTTTGTATACATCTACTCTGAAAGTGGAGTTGGAAGATACGTTTACTAACTGAATGAGGTTAGATTGTTGCCCAGACCATTCGAGGCTTACATATACGGGGCAACGTATCCAAGTACTCATCTTACAACCATGCTGATGGATACATCGTGGGCTGAACATCGGGGCGAGGCGCTATTGTTAGTCTTCGCACGCTAGCTGAAGGAAGACGCTACAAGGTTATATGCCATATCAAAATTTGGCGGGGTTCTGATAGATCAGCGTTGCGTTCGGCGTTTCCAAGACACTGGCAGCGAATCAGCAGTCATTGTGAAACGTGCCGAATTGGTATTCGGGGTCTTACTGGGTGTTTCCTCAGTATCTTGTTCTTGCCAAGTATGATTGACTCGTGCACTTTTGCTTTTGTGCACACTTGGTGATGCCGAGTTATGCTCCGTCATAGTACTTTGTATACAGTTCCATCACTAAGAATCCCAGTGGGTACCTGACAGGGTATCTAATCTTTGGCTCGCAATTACGGTACGCAAACATATCTGGCTGGCTCCTTCACGTCGACGTAATGCAACAGGGCAAGCTGACGGAGGGGGGTGTGAAAAAGTGCCACTCTTCAACATTAGATTCGTGATCTGTAGCTTTGCTGAAATGCCATGAGAATAAACTTGCATTGACAGTAGATGATCATCTCCATTTGTTACGCTGTCAAAGATATCTAACTATGTGTGTATCCAATCAATTGACTTTCGTATTAAATGTTTCTACGTATCGCTGCATATCTCTAATGTGGGAAGACAAACTCATGTAAAATTCTTGTTAGCTCAGATGGCAGTAGCTTTTGACAACCGTAGAATATGGTCCACCACATTGTCCACCTCATCCTTTTTAGTTGGCAGGTGATGCGCCGCCTCTGTCATCAACACCGTTGCATTCTCGCTCTTGTAATGACTCCGTACCAGTCTCCGTGCTCGTCCGAGACAGAAGTCTCTATTGCCATGGACATGGATCGTAGGCACATTGATGTAAGCCTGTGACTCGCCTTGAGCGTTTGCCTTTGCAGTAAGCCATTTTGATGCCTCTACAGGGAAAAAGCAGCAACTCATGACGGCAAATGAAAGGCGTGGTAGTGAGGGCACCAGATTCTGCTGCTGCATCCACAGGAGAAGCGACAGCGTCAGAGCACCCTCGGAGAAGCCAATGGCACCAACAATCTCCGCCTCGGCATCAAGATTGGCAGCCTTCCATCCAGCAATGGACTTTTCAACAGAGGCGATGATACTCGTCATGCTCTCGTCGATGGTGGTGCCGCTGCCGGCAAACCAACAATAGTAAGGTTCTTGTTTCGCGAAAAAGGGTAGAACGCCGGGTCCGGCAGCACACTCCAATGGACCGTCAAGGAATATGAAGTCAAACTCGCTTCCCAATAGAAAGCAGATCCTCGCCAGTTGTACATTGAAAATAGCGCCTTTGGAGCCGGTGCCGTGAAAGCAGAGGAGGACCTTTTTGTGCTTTACGGACATGTTGACTATACAAGCCAACCAGTGGTTAGCTAACACCAACGATAGTAGCTATAATCCGTTTGACTTACATGACTCTGCTGCGAATTTGGTGGTTTGGAATTCGATCACTTAGCAATGTCTGTATGGCTTTGTCGCTTTGATGTCAGATGTGTGTGAGATGCGTACATCTAAGCGCCGACTTCGGTATAGAATGAAATTACGGAAGTCTTTCCACGTAGAAATGGAACAGAAGAGAACACAGGACTCCCGTCTAGAAGTCAAGCAGCTTAGCTTCCACCATCGCTTCAGGTGGCGGCCACCACAAGCACATTTCACGGTAGTGCTGAGTAATCTACAATTGTTATTGATTGATGAAGCAGCCTATCTTGGTCTTTTCGAACCTCACCTGGTCTGGTGGAACAAGCTGACTGGATCTGGCCACTGCAGGCTTGGCAGGCTTCCTATGCAGATCCGAACTCCCGATAAGAAGTATTCTATTTTGAAGGGCGCAAAGTGGGTTTGGCAATTGTGGAGAATTCCCCCAAGCGTCACTACAACGCCCGTCTTGGTAGACGATCAAGCTTTCAGAGGCGTTTTATTGGTCAAAGCTTGTAATGCTTATGTAGACACTATACCGTCAACGCGATCTAATCGGAGTCATGAATCCTTGCTGGTCATATCGGCGTTTTCAAATCGGCGTTTGACTCCTGAGTCGACAAGGTTATGGACCTGGCAGTGGGGGAGCGTGGAGCAATGCTGACGGCCCGCTAGTCTGATAACCCGAGGGACCGTCTTCTCCACCAGCATTTTGTCCGTCAGATCCTATAGCTGGGATATGCTGTGCACTAGAACGTTTCTATACTCTACCCTATCCTCAGTGCAAACCCTGGCTTGTGGCTCATGATGCCGATCGTCGAAATCCTAGTACCCTCTTATGATGTGCTTGGATATTCATGCTTTGCGGACCAGTGCTTCCCACTATGCAGGTACCGTGACCCGATTCGGTGTAAAGTCGCACGTGACAATACATTACTATAGACGTAGGTAGATCTACCAAGTATGCACTACCTTTTCGGTCGTAGCAGTCGGTTTCTAGTAATAAAACAGGCCGTTTTTGAGCAGATGAGTAGTGAAGCTATTCTGAATTATCTGTGCAAGTCAAGGACAACTGTTTGAAGGACTAAATCATTCGACATGGCATCGAACGGCAGTAATGATGCTGCGAGCGTTCCGGCAACACATCGCGCCGTCATTATAGAAGCTGGAGACCATGTGCGCATACGAGAGGATGTGCCCTTGCCTTCACTCCAGGATGATCAATTCCTCGTTCGAACTGAAGCTGTGGCCATCAATCCCAGCGACACCAAGATGCGCGGCACCTTTGTGACTGCTGGCGGCATTTTGGGAACTGATTACGCCGGGACCGTCGTGGCTCGCGGGCAGCATGTCACCGAGGTGGCTGTAGGCGATAGGGTCTGCGGAGCGCAACATGCCATGTACGCCAACGAGCCTCTCCGTGGTTCTTTTGGGGAGTACAATATCTCAGCCGGCAGAGTCTGGTCAAAGTTGCCGCCCTCGATCAGCACTACCAGTGGTGCAACATTTGGCGCAGGTATCAGCACTGCGGGTATAGCTCTGAAGCTTCTGGGACTGCCTCTGCCTGACGCCCCAGTGGAGAAGCCTGCATACGTTCTGGTGTATGGAGGCAGCACCGCGACTGCAACTATCGCGATACAGCTACTCAGATTGTAAGAATAGCTCCGTCTACCAGGAAAATGTATCTTGAAGGGATCGTGACACTAACCAAACGCTTAGGATCAACATGATACCCATTGCAACTTGCTCCGCCAAGAACTCGGAACAAGTCAAATCGTATGGTGCCGAGGAGACTTTTGACTACAAAGAACCAGGTTGCGCGGCCAGAATTGTGAGTGGACCATTTCCGTGAAGGGGACAACGTAATTTGAGGACACTTGACCAACTAATCCCGCCCTTCACTTTGTAGAAAGCTTACACCAAAAACAACCTACGATACGCACTAGACTGTATCACGAATGTACAGACAACCACCTTCTGCTATGCCGCACTCGGCCGCGCTGGCGGCAAGTATGTCTCGCTGGACCCGTACTCGGAGCATGCCGCCGCGCGACGCACCGTCAAGGGCGACTGGGTGCTGGGGCCCTCCATCTTTGGTGACGGTTCGACGTGGCCGGCGCCGTACGGTCGGCCGCCGAGCGACGAGCTCCGTGCTTATGGAGAGAAACTGTGGAGGTTGGCGCAGGAGCTGATCGCCGACGGCAAACTGCGACCTCATCCTGCTCGCACGCTCGAGGGGGGACTTGAACGCATATCGGAGGGAATGGAAATGGTGAAGAATGGCCAGTTTGCAGGAGAGAAGTGCGTGGTTCTTTTGTAAAGCTATCTATCTTATAAGGTTTATGTTTTTAATAAATTTATTGATAAAGTAATCATGAAAATGTTTTCATATATAAGTATTCTTTTATTGAAAGTTGTAATGTTTCAATATTAAACATTTAGCGAAGAGAATGTTAAAATAGTTTGGATTTAATACTCCATAACCGTAAAACATGCTATGTAATAAATACTAGTTGAAAATAAGCAATTTTCTTTTCAAGGTTATGTAAATAAGATGCGGAAAGTAGGATCAGATTTTGTTGTAATTTTGATAACTGCCTGAGACTCATGGTACGGTGAATGAAGGGTTTATTTGATGTCTATTATGCTCTCCTATATTCTGTCTCGCTATACAAGCGCCTCTACCTTAACACCAGGTCTAAGCGTAATCTTTGCCTCCACACCAGATTGCTTTGCCAGTACCGTCTCCTTGATCTTCCAAGTCATTGTGGGATCAATTAGTTTGATCTGATATAACATTAATCATCTGCTTCTGAAAGCATTCTGCATAGTATGTCTGGGAAGGGGGAAGGGGTCATCTTACGTCAAAGATGGAATACAAGGTAGCCATCAACTTGTACATTTCGCATCTGGCAATGTTCTTGCCCATGCAAGCTCGGTCGCCATGGCCCCAGGTCAGGTCTGCCTTGTTCATTCTGCGTATGCGTTCGGTGAAGTCGTCCTGACTCTCACTAGCACCTTTCAACCAGCGTTCCGGCCTAAAGTCCGCCGCATCGCTGCCATAAACGTCTTGGTTGAAATGTGTGGCCCAACCCGAAACAGCTACGGCTGTTCCCGGTGGCAGAGCATGGCCATTCTCAAGAGTGAGGCCAGGACCTTGTGGGACACCCCGTCGTGACAACATGGCGCCAATGGGATGGCAGCGGAACGATTCCCGGATGACTGCGTCGAGATACGTCAGACTTTGGACGTCAGCCCACGATGGTGGCATGGTAAGTCCGCTAGAATCCAGCTCCTCCTGCAGCTTAGCGGCAACTCTTGGGTGCTTTCCCACGAAATAGACAATCGATGTCAAGCCGATTGTCACGGTGTCGGCCCCAGCCAAGAGAGGCGTCGTAGCATATCCATGCATAACCAGATCGTTGACAACTTGTGGGTGTTTTTCTTTAGTATCCATGATTTGAGAAAGCAAGTCTTCTCGGTCGTTGCCTTTGACAGCACCTTTGTCTTTTCTCGCCTGGATGAGTTCACGAGCTCGAGCCGGGAATGACCCCATTCGCTTCTGAAACACGCTCGTCACAGGGGTTTCTTTGAGCAAATTGTGAACCCAAGGCATAGCCGCGGCCTGGTTTTCAGTAAAGTTAGTCGAAATTGGGGTCGATTTTCAAGCCTTCATGCGAAACATACCATGGCTCTATATGTCTGAGCCGCATCAACACCCTTGAACATGGCGGCTTGATCAGCCTTACCGCTCATAAGGCCGAAATCCGCAGAGACAGTCAATTTCATGATTGTATCATATGCAACTGGGAAATCTTGAGTGTCTGGTCTACCGTAGCTCCCCCTTCTCGAAAGTGCCACTTACAAAAGTGCATCCACTGAAAAATAGGTACGGTCTGCTCTGTAACCCTGAAGTCCTGGTCAAGTTTCTTGACAAGCTGGCGCACACATTCGTTGATGAAGGCTTCTGACTTGGTGACATTCGACATGGCATAAACCCCAGCAATTGGTCTCTTGAGAGACGAATGGGTTTGAGTGTCCTCACTGGCGATGAGACTGGGATAGTGAACTCCCTTTAGCTCAGTCCGCAAAGGCTGCCAGTGGTAACTCTAGACCGAGACAGTCAGTAAAAGATTACAATGGTGTGGATTTAGGTAATTGAATGTACAAGACATCATAACATACCTTCGGGTACGGCGAGCGAGTTGCATACACAGTATCGATCATGGCGGGATCTGAGAACATGACTGTTCGTGGGCCAACAGCCACCACGGGGCCATATTCTTCGTGTAAGCGTTGAATCTCCCGGCACGTAATGCCATTATATGCATCAAAGACCTGGAAAATATCTTTCAGGTTGTTAGATTTCAGCAGGTTGAGATGTTAAGTGTTACATGCGAAATACCTGAATAGCGACGCCAAAACGGCCCGGGAACATGCCACAAGCCGGTACGAAACGGCGTCAGGACGACCCAGAGAAGGCCAACAATGGCACAACACCAGAGAATTGCACCCAACATCTTCTTGATGTGACAAAAAAAAAGGAACAAAATCTGTATCTGCCGACGATACTGCTTAGTAGGACATAAGCAAGACTGCAAGCCTGATAGATGACGATTTTCAACTTAAGTGAGAGCTCAATGCATATGATGCATGGTCGGGAGCGCTAGAATCGAATATGTGGAAACACGACATAACGACAGAGACAGCTACTAGTAGAACGCCGAACTCGCCGAATGACCAGGGGAGTCCCGCCAAGGATTGCGGCTGCATCCACTCAGATATAAAAAGAATCCCCACAAATATACATACTACGTATGGTATGTGACCTATTAGTCATGTAAGAACTTAATCCTCAATACATGAATCATACAAAAAAAAAAAAACAATATGCAAGATAGTCGATTGACGGGTTGGCTTACAGCACAATAATGTCTGGTTTAGGAAGATGGGAGGCATCATGTGCGATTTGATGGGTGCTGGAAGATTTGAATTGAAGTTTCTCATTGTGTCTATGGAATTTGTCATTGCTGGTCCAACAGCCCAGAGAGGGAGATATCAATTGAGCTGTAGCTTTACAAGATCCTTCCTTTCTTGTATCACTGCCATCTCACTGAGAATCTCCTCACTACCACCACCGATCACAAGCACTCGCACATCCCTACTGATCCTCTCAACGCGAGCACCGGGACCGCCGTCTTGGGTGTAGCCTACCGCCCCCATGATCTGCTGGGCCTCTCGTACCGCCAACTCGGTAGCCCTCGCAGCATTGACCTTGGCTAGTGCGCAAAGCCCACCAATGCCCGTCCCAGCCTCATCCGAGTGCGCAGCTCTCTTGAAGGTGCTGTCTCGGACCTGTACGAGGGACTCGAGCAGGGCATATGCGGCCATGATCTGCATGCCTACATTTGCAAACTTGAGCCGAATCACTTGCCGGTCTATCAGCGGCCTTCCAAAAGTTTGTCTCGTGAGAGCGTGCTGGTATGAGTCTTGAAGACAGATGCGAGCTAGACGCAAGCAATTACCCGCGATCCAGAGGCGCTCATGGTTAAAACCTGGAGTACTCTGATTAGCGTTGACTTTGTGGCATGAGGGGGATCTAGTGATGTCATTTCACTCACTGAGCATGATTAGTTTGAAGCCTTCATTCTCTGCGCCGATCAGGTTCGCAGCCGGGACTTCGACGTTGTTAAACGCGAGTGACGCGCATCCTGTTGATTATTATTAGTAAAGATGTTATCTTTTCCACTACCTAGGTAGTAAACATACCGCTCGAAGCAACGCCAGAGTTTCGAATTGGCGTCCGAGTGACTCCTTCCGCATTAAGAGGAATTACCAGCACGGAGATACCACTTTTACCACTGCCACCTGTCCGAACGGCAGCCGTACAAAAGTCGGCAGTAAGACCATTCGTTACCCACTGTTTAGTACCGTTTACAACAAACACATCGCCGCGCCTCTCAGCGGTGGTTGAAACGTTGGCAACATCCGATCCAGCTATATTATGATTGATTTCACATCAGAACTTGGTGTCTCTTAAGTCAAATCGAAGAGAAAGGCGAATGTATAGCTTACCTTGAGGCTCTGTAATTCCGAGAGAGAACCTGATATCACCCCGTATAACAGGAGATAGCCATCTAGTCTTTTGTTCTGCAGAGCCAAAATGAATGATGGGAGGGCATCCGATGGCGTTGCCGCAGCCAAGTGCCCATAACACACCGAGAGAGCCACAACGGGCCATCTCATCGATGGCTATGAGGTCATGAAAGCTGTCCCATTCCTCCGGAGGGACTTGACCTGGCAGCTTGATTTCTCCCAAATACTCACGCGTCTCGGAGGGATTAATCAGAAGGGCTGTATAACCCAGAGCCGAGTGGCGATCGAGCACCTATTCGAAATATTTAGAATCAGCTTAAATGGTTGCAATAGTGCCCTTAAGGGCACTCCAAATTTTGTGAAATTCATACCTTTCGCGGGACTGCTCCATTGGCTTCCCATTCAGAACAGAAGGGCTCAATCTCCGTATCAACATAGCGTCGAATCTCATCACGAAGCCGCCTGTGTGACTCGGTATAGTTGGGATTGCCTACCCGCGAATACCAGAGCGGCTCGGCAAAGGGAACGCTCGAGCCAAAGAAGTCTGCCATTGAATGTGGTTGAATAGCCTGATTGTCTCGAAATGCAACAATTGATAGGCCAATGAAGGGACGAGATGTATGCAAGCTGGGATCTATGAAGTCTTGCCCTTCTCACGATGAAACTTTATTAGTGAACCACGGTTTTGCTTGTCGTCACCCAAGTATAACAAGGCCCCGGTCGTTCACATGCAGTTGTATACGAAAAGCCAAGGAATCAAACCGGGGTTTGGGGCTCGCCTAAGCTTATTGGCCGTGCCACCCCAATGGGACCAACAAGCACAAGGGCCCGCCCTGAAGATTCATACGTAAGCTGACCACTGCAGATTGCCTGCCGACATTGTAGTCGGTAATCCTGAATCCTGATTCAAGGGACCCGTGTGTACTGATTGCCATTTTGGAGCAGTACAAGTGTTTGGCTTGCATCTGAGGCTTCGCCAAGGAACCCATCTAGATAAGCTGCAACCCTTGCGCCGCCACGATCCATCCCTGTATAGAAACCATACGAGAACGTGGCGATCATGGTGCCGACTCCTGCAGGATACTTTATCTTGCCGCGACTGAGATTGGCGCTGCATCTAGCGCCACCTACGAAAGACTAAATTCTATACATTGTAAGCATTACTTCCCTCAGCACGTACCTCCTTGCAATCAACATGTATAGACATTACGAAAGAATACAAGACGAAAACGCCGACTGACCGGGGTTGTTATGAAAAACACCGATCCGCCGGGGGTTTGTAAATAAGCTACCTATTCGGCGAAAACTGCTACCCGCCCCACGTTAGAAGGATGATGGATAGTGGGGTTTCCAAACATTAGAGTGCCGCCCATCAAGAGGCACTCACGTAGATAGTAGACATCAGCCACGGGCTTGTCAAAAGCGCCATAGTGATTAGTGTTTTTGCAATACCAGCCGCGATCCTATGGAAGAATTCTATTGCTTAAGAATTGAGAACCAGCTATGAACGCTACATCTCAATATGCAAACAAGCGTAAGGCATGCTCGCGAATGTGCCTCGAGGTCTACTGCTAATCATGATATCCGCCACAAGCCAACTGCTGATGGCAACTTCATCGTGGCTCAAGTCGTTTGTCTTCAACGATGAGAAATCGAGTTACAGGCCAGATGGAGACAAACATACAGACACATTGGCAGCACCCGCAGTGCCGCCATGGACAATAGTGCGCAGACATGAAGCATACGACGTCGCCCGTCAGGGTAGCACAATCCGAATATGTCTCAATCGCCCTCATCACGGCAACTCGCTGACCTTGACCACCATGAGGGATATGATCAAGCTGTTTCAAGAGCTATCCGATGACAAAGCGGTGCACCGGATCATCATCACAGGCAACGGCCGTTTCTTCTGCACGGGGATGGATCTAAAAGAGGATCTCTTCACGTCCGTTACAGATCGATACACCATACTCCATGACTTCTTCGCCACCATAGACGCCTGCCCCAAGCCGACCATTGCCGTGGTCAACGGGCCGGCTTTCGGTGGGGGTGTCGGTCTGGCCATGGTCTGCGACGTCCGGATATCGCTCAGCACCGCATACTTTTGCCTGAGCGAAGTAAAGCTGGGCCTGTGTCCGGCCACCATCTCCAAGTACTTGGTGCGCGAATGGGGGGTGAGCCTCGCGAGGATGGCCATGATGACCGGTCGACGCATCAAATCTCAAACACTGCACGATGCAGGCATAATTCATGCTGTTGCCTCGGATATGGGTTCCATGGAAAGGACTTTGGAGGACTTTTTACAAGACATGCGTTACGCGGCACCGCGCGCAGCTGCACTGACCAAGACCCTGGCTCGGGAAGCTGGTAGTGGCGATGAGACCAATCTGGACAAGGTGGCCGGTGAGGTTTTTGATGCCATGTTGGCACCTGGGTCTGAGTCGTGCTATGGCGTGACACAGTTCAAGCGTGGTATCAAGAACATTGTTTGGGAAGACTGGCGTTCCGATGGCAAGGTACGCGGATAATAGAAATTATAGAGTTCATAGATTTCTCCCTCACGTACGACGGGACGGGCCATTTATTAACTGCCGGGTCCAACGCGAATTACCCCACGCCCCCCGTTCAGCGTCCAAGCTTTCGGTTCATGTCACTGTCGCGGTGAAGCATGAAATGCAGACGAGATTGAGGCCGTCTGTGAAGGCTGCTGTGTCATTGAATGAAATCAACAGAATTACGGAAAGACGAATCACAAAAAAGAATTCTAGGGAACGGGTTCTCCGGGCGCAGTTACATAACAAGCCTCCAATGATGATGATCAAAGTATTGTATTCAAGGTAGAATCCCTTTACGTATGGCTCAAATGGACATATATCCCAACTACACAAGGATAAGTAATGTTTGATTACATTTGCCGCGATTTTGGGAGATTATAGCAGTTATGATATGGTGTCGGCTAATGATATTGGATTATTTCCCCACAATTGGTATCCATGTAACACTACTGTACAATCTTTAAATATATCAATCACATCACAGCTACTAGGCACTTAAAGTTTCGGAGTCAAATTCATCGATGTTCGAAATAAAGAGATAAATCCGAGCACCTTAGGCAGTGGAAGGATGTCTGGATGCTGATTGGATTGCGGCCAGCCATTGCTCAACCTGCCTTATCTATTGTAGCTAGCTACTGTATACGAAAGCCACAATCCAACCCAATCGGAAGGTACCCAGTTGCCAACTATACATTGTACGTGCCTGTCTAACTTTGACTGGGCGATACCCCACCAGTCGCTTACTGTGTGTGGTGCCTGCGGTCGTCACTGATATTCGTACATGTTATGATCTTTGATCTGATAGTTCCTTTCATCCTACACTAGTAGTGCTTTGGAGGCTCCGACCAACCAAGGGGAAACGTGCGACTCGCGCGAATGTGTCCTAATCCATGCTGCATCCGTTGAAGGTTTGTATGCATGTCGGAAGTCCCTGGACAAGGGTTCACTCGCTTACGGATAACAGATTCGTTGCTCTCAGCTCTCGTCAGTCATCAATCACCATGCAAGCATGCATTGATACATAACCTAATGCAATGTACCTAGGTATGTATCCACTAGAATGGCAAACAAGGCAAGCACCACGGGCTGCACGGGTACAAGGTTTTGGGCGCAGCCAAGCTGTCTTGGCTGCCAAAATGGATCCCCGCCATTTGTTCTATGTTCTACCAATCATAACGTAAAAGAGGCACGCAAATGGGGAATTGCATGCTAAAAAAGGTGGTGTTAGGACTCCATATTACGTACACAGTATTTCCAGCACCTCCGACTTGCCTTTATCCGTCGAATCGGACTCATCTTGGTCTCCGGCGCAAGCTGTGCAGTACTTTGAGGCGTTTCTTTTTTTTTTTTTTTTTTTTTTTTTTTATTTTTTTTT